TTGTATCATGTTTTTTAACAACAATGAAGGGCTCTCAACGGGTCGAATGGGAGGTCACAGGAATCGTTAGCTAACACAAGAGGATCCAGACATGCTTGGGATTACTAAGGGACAGGATGGTCAAAGGGATTGGGAAATCACTATAGCCAGAGGACATTTGAACTTTTTAATTTAAATTCAGGGTACACTGGAATTGAAAACTCAGGGCTGGGGATACTGGAATCGCTTGATATTTCTATGCCGACACTTTTAAGTCATATATTCTAGCTGTAGGTGACATTGGGAATCCCTTCGTAACTAGAAGGACATAATTAGTATCTTTTTGCAAACTATGGAGGGGTATTTGAATTGTATGATAACTGTAGGGGGACCAAAATCAATTCCTTATTCGAATGATTCTGACAACGGCTAACCTGCCTGATACACCCTTAGACAGAAAAGAAGAGATATAGAGGGAAGCATAATTAGCGCAGGCAGTGGCTAGGGAAAGGGATGGCATTGAAATCACTTAATATACTTGTAGTGGGACATATTGGAGTCATTTGATAATTAAATAGGGAATTGGAATAATTTTCTAACTTACTTGAGGGGAATAAATCCTTAAGCTTGAGAATCTCTTCCTATATAAAGGGGATTATTGGAATCGGCCAGAGTCACAAGGGAATGTGGATATTTGTGAGTTCTGCAAGCCGACCAGGGGCTTAAGAATCACTTGCTTAATATAAGGGATATGGAAATCACTAAACCTAGGGGATACAAGAATCATCCGCAGGGAATATAATCGCAGGAATCGCCATGTCGGGGTCTACAGAACACTGGTTTCACGTGTTTACTGATGTGTCAATAGTTTCACCTGAATAATTGCATGTAACTTTAAAAGTGTACTGAATGTTTTTGACATGTTGTTCATGGGAAGTAAAATCAGAGGTGACATAATTTGAGGATCGTTTGTACTTTTTCGTGTTTGCTTCGAATTCTTGCACATGCCCACACAGCCTGATTCACTGAACATGGCAGTGTGCTGTAAGTAAGGCATTTGTGTTGAGACAAATTACCACCATGTCACTGTTAATTAACATGAATGTCAAAGTTTACACAAACATGTTCTCCATTCAAGGTTGTTCATCAGTCTACTTTGAGTTAGATAATGTAATTGGCACTAATTGTTTCCATTCCTCTCTGTTTACTGTGGCCTCCTCTGATTATTGATAGGTTTCATGTCTGGTGTTTTCTATTCACCAATTGTTCGAAATATTTTAAGATATTATTCCTTGGTACAAGCTTTAGTATTCAGAGGTCAAAATTGTTTTTGTATCAAAAATGTTCTTTGTTCGAAAATTGTTTTGATCTGGAAGTTTGTACTGTAACATGTACAAATTCTATGGGGGAACTTGACTGATACATTGGACTCTCACTTTGACTTGTATTTGTTACAGCTAGGACAAGCATATTGATTTATGAATTCTCTATTTCACTTTTGGGGACAGATTTGACATGCCAAATCTTCTATTCAACTTTGGAAGGTTATTCAGGTATAAGGGGGGCCGTGGTGGACTGTTATGCAAGCTTAAATGAACTCAAATCAGATTATCACTGTACAATTGGGTAGTCAATGTAAAAAAACAATTAAATTTCAGTTTATATATACACAGTAGGTGATTCTTGATAACATAGGTACATACACATTTGATTTTCTTTCGATTTAAGTCACTGGTGGATGACGACGCTTGGGATCAGTGTTTTCAAACGGTTTATCTGTATTTTGAGGTTTAACCCTTAAATGATGACACTCAAAATACTTTGCACAACACAATTTGTGATTCGGGTGCACAGCAAAATTTAACCCCCGCGAAGATTATGTACTAGTACTACATGAACACGAAATATTGACCCCCCCCCCCCCCAAATTTAAAGCACTATGGGTAGTCGATTCATGATATAAATTCCAGTTTGACTCCTAGGTGTATGACAGGTATTCCACTGATACATATTTTCTGTTTGACATTGAAGGGAGGGTATTTGTTTGACTCATACACTTTCTTTGCTTTACTGAGGGTTAATCAATTTCGTACAATTTCTCTGTCAGGGTAACAGAGGGGTATTACACTAATAACCCAGGTTCAACTGTACTTGACCTGATCTACAAGGTACTATAAACAGTATTGCAATGGAAGTTCAACGTAATGGGTTAGAGAGGAAGTGCTCCAATCTCAAGCTTCATTCATCAAGATCAGACTGTAGATACCTCGAGATATTCTACCATTGTTGGAATTAGGTAAGCTTGGATCAGCGGTGTAATGGGTCTTGGTAATTTGCTCAGCTAGTATTTTACTGATAAATGTGAAGACTGGTGGTGTTGTGTCAGGTATGCGAGGATTGCTGGTACTGCCAACAGTGTGTCAGATGGGTAGTCTCTATGGGAAAGGCTTCAAATATTTGATAAGATATGTATACGTTATGTTGCATCACTGCAAAGGAAGGCATACTCTAGAATCCATTTTGATGAGTTCTCGTAGATGTTTTGCAAAGTTGTTTCAGTGCAGTATACCTAAGCATTGTCTGATTCCTGTTGGCATTCATATTACCTATAAATGCCAACTGAAATCAGATCTATATACTTATATTTTTAGCTCACCTGCCCTTTGAACCTTTGTAAGATTTGTAAATAAATGCAATGCCAATGTCAGTATTTCATTTCCTGATAGCTATAGGCCTGTGCACTCTCTATCTGATATGTAAGTACTAGGTTTCTAGGAAATGAGGCATTTTATTGACAATGTTTGAATCGCTGCATATAAGATCGGGTATATTGGGTCATCAGCCAGGATTTGATTGACACAAATAGCTTTCTTTATCTTTATTATCAGCAATTGATCTGTACATATAGGTCATTTATGTAGCAAAATTGGTTTTTAGATCGAAACTCAAAAAGATCTGTATGGCATTTTGCCTAGTTCAACTTTAGAAATGACAGTGTGTGTGTGTGATTAATTCTGAGATATCTTGTTATTATTGATGAAATGTCTTTTACTTACGGTGCCAGCTGCTGAAACCCACACTTTACATGCTAGTTTGTGCCAATATAAAGTCATATATGGTTCTAATACATGTTGTATACAGAATCTTAAACCTGGTGTCCAAGTATACATGGGTTTTTTCCCTGGAAAGAATTAATGGTACATATGATGAACTGTCCATGCTTGCACACTGATGATATTATACATTTGTATGTAACAGGCACAGCGTGATATAACACCAACACTTTTGAGCCGACCTCAAACTTAATTAACACTCAAACTGTATTTGCCTCAGGCTTGAAATAGCAACTAAAAGACACTCAAGCTCAGCTTCAGCTTGAAGCAGATTTGTACACATGCATGTTAATGTTGGTGATGCATGTTTAATTGGGGCCTGAGGTTGACGACTTCATTGTTAAAGAACTTAGTATTGCAATGAATAGTACCATACATGTATCATTAAAGCTGACAGTGCAAGTTTAAAAGCTTTTAATTGAGATTAAAAAATCAATAAAAAAAATCTGGTTTTGAGATCTTCCCCATCTATTCTGACTCGCTTCTAAGGAAATGCCAACACTTTAGTTTGTTCTTTGCTTGGTAACGAGTATGGGTCTCGCTGGGTATAAAAAGCGCATTACCTGTCAAACCAGTTATCATTCTACAACTCTCCGTCTTGTGGTTCAATGCACCGGGCCCCCTGATCAGCAACCGATATCAAAAATCAAAAGCACTCGCCCGACGACTTTGAAACACAGTCACAAATGATAACCGGTTTGACGGGTAATGCGCTTTTTATACCCAGCGAGACCCATACTCGTTACCATGCAAGAAAGCACAAACTAACATGTCGGCACTTGACCTTAGAAATGATAGTCGGAAGAGACGGGGAAGATCTTGAAACAAGAAAAGAAAATCATACTTTTTAAAAAAAATCTCAATTGAAAGCTTTTTACCTTGCACTACTGTCATCTTTAAGTATAACCTACGTACAGTATATCACACTTTACTACCGGTACACGTACTTAACTGTTAGTTACCATTACAAGTACACAACATTGTACACACTGCCCTTAATTGTTGAATGCTTAATTAAAGTGGAAATTTTCACATTCCTGTTATGACTCTTTACACAGATCGCTGTGTGGAAATTGCATTGGCAAAAGTTCACAAATATATATAGTCTATATATCTAATCCATATAACCTATATATATGCACATATGGATAGTTCCACACTAATTTACTCAAAATGATAAATGTGAAAATATTCGACTCATGAACATTTCCGCTTTAAACTTGTATCATAAAGTTTTGAAACTTTCTGCAAGTAGAGGATTTGAAGCCTCTTTTATTTCATTACCCAATTTTCCAAACCTTTAATTACTTTTACTAGATACGGCATACTGGGAAATTTCGCTACTGTAAACCTTTCGCCTGCTGCAATGAGGGCACGTTTATCCTCATAATAAATTTAAGTACACAAAATATATATATTACATTTGTAATTACTATTGATTGTGAAAAGATTCATGTAGCACAACCAATAAGTGTTTATATGTGACGATATGTACTCCATCACCTTCATCAGACAAATGACCAGTGGAGCGTATGTACAAAAAGATATAAAAGATGTACGAGTTGTCCATACAAATCGATGTCTATTCGGCTACACTGTAATTAAAGCATACGGACAATTAGTTGTTTATATATGTACCGAAATGACTCGATTAGGCTATCTGTTTAATACTTGGTTATAGATATGCAAGAGTCTTGTGAGCATTTCTCTTTGATCTATTTATGACAATTATTTACAATAACAATGTTATTAGCCCTAGGTCTATGTTTTATGTATCTTATAAGACTCTTTCATGCCCAGGGATGTAGTAACAATTATTGCAATGGGAACCATCATTTTACGACACATAAGTAGTCCCGACAAAAAACGTGTTAATGGAAATATGACAATTGTATTATTTATTTGCAGCTGACATATATGACATTGTTGAGACCGCGATTGAAGAAAAAGGACTTGATTGTGAGTGTGTGGGTGGTGGAAGGATAGATCATGATCCTGGCAACAAAAGAATCAAGATTTACGGATACTCAAAGGTACGTGTAGTGTAACTGATCTAAAACACTATCAGGACACTAGATAATTTAAGGCATCAACTAAGTTCCAAATTTGATCTGGGTATTCACCAGGCCCAAAGTTCCAAATTTGATCTGGGTATTCACCAGGCCCAAAGTTCCAAATTTGATCTTGGTAATCACCAGGCCCAAAGTTCCAAATTTGATCTTGGTATTCACCAGGCCCAAAGTTCCAAATTTGATCTGGGTAATCACCAGGCCCAAAGTTTCAAATTTGATCTTTGTAATCACTAGGCCCAAAGTTCCAAATTTGATCTGGGTATTCCCCATGCAGGCCCTCAGTTCCTAATTTTGATCTGGGTATTCCCCATGCAGGCCCTCAGTTCCTAATTTTGATCTGGTTATTCCCTAGGCCCAAAGTTCCAAATTTGTTATCTGGGTATTCCCACTAGGCCTTAAGTCCCAAATTTGATCTAGCTAGGTATTCCCCTGGCCCAGAGTTCAAAATTTGATATCTGGGTATACCCCAGGCCCAATCTCTTGGACTTGGCCCCTATCTGGCCAGTATGCCCACTGCTCATTCCTATTTTAAAATTAGATGTTTTGCTTTTCTTCACAAAAGTTGAATGTTAACATTTTGTAAAGCAATGGGTCAAGTGTATGTCCTGCTGGCAGTGACAGTGTAATGGTCACTTTTTGGTATCACACTCCACACACTAAGGGAAAATTAACCAATATTTTTAAAATGTTCTTCTTCAGACTTTTTTGTACTACTATCAAATTCTGTGCATTGATGAAAATTCCATCAGCGGCTTTATCAATTTTTCGATTTCGTTACCCCCGGGCCATCCATTCTCGCTTGGGGAGGGGGTAAAGTTGACTCTAGTTTATATAGGGAAATAACAATTTTTGGTATAAAATTTGTCCATTTTTAGCAGGAATGATTATGGTGCCAGTTGGCAATTAGACGGTATGAGTAAATAAGATCCTGCCCCATCCCCAGGGGCTGGATGGGTGGAGCCCAAATGGGGAAAATCAAATGTTAAAAAAACTTCTTCATCAGACTCAGATGTTTTACAAACAAACTATATCATGTCCATTTTCAGCAAGAAATAATTCAAACTTGATTGGAATAGTTATAATGAAATTGAAATCGAATAGTATCAGAAAGTAAGATCCTGACCTAGCTATCCCAGGGGTTGGCCAGGAAGGACAATTGGTTAATTGAGAGTAGATATTATATTTCTCAAAAGCAAAATTATTTATTTGAATAGTTTTTAAAGTTCTAAACCTTTGGTGACATAACAAGTATTGTATTTCACTCTGTTTACATGTTGATTTCCTCATCACATCTCAACAATAAAATTGAGTACCAGTATCTATAATATACATGTAACTGAGGTTACCGCTAAGGGCCTTGGGCCTCTTGTTAGTTTTTTTGTCAGCGGTGTCGTCATCGGTAGTATCGTCCGAAACAAGGTTTCTTGTGATAACTTGAGTTCCCTTAGGTTGATTGAACTCACACCTGGTACACATATTGCATACTAATATAGCTCAGACGAGTTCACATTTCAGAAGTTTTCATGCATTTTTGGTGGAGTTATGCCCCTTTTATTGCCAAATAAGGGCATTGTGTATTAAATGGAAGAACTACTTTTTTTAATCAATTCCTATCAAATTTTGTATGGTAATGCTAGAAGCAATAATGTTCAACATATATATATCAGGTTTTTCTGTCAAGTTTCAACTTTCCGTGTTTTTGCATATCACACTTGCCATAGCAACGCTGTTCATCGTTTTTGCTGTTAAATTTTGCTTGTTTACACGATAACTCAAGCCAAAACACTTTTCTCAGTAAAAGCGCTGAGCAGGCGACACATCCACTCCTGTGGAATTGTTGTGTTAAAAATTCCTCAAAATATTCTTGGCAGTTAATTTGGTCAATATTCAAAGTTAACTGATACATCTAAAGGACCTGTTACAGGAACAAAAGAATTTTGCCCACAAAGCAATTTAACCATTACTGGTTTATATTTGTAGCTCCCTAAGACACGACCCATGAGATATTTCTAAAAAAAATAAAAGGTCCCCAGGGCCTGTGCTATGAACTATTTAGTGCCGCCTTCCAAAGGTGTACGACAGGGTTCACATTTTGTCCAAAAAACTATCAAAACAATGTTTTACGCTATCAAATAATATTATATTATTTACAGTAGGATCTGCTGCAAATTATGAACTCAAATATGTAACAAAAAATTACATAATAAAAAAGTTATAAAATCTTAAAGTCTAAAAATTTTGGTATTTTCATACACTTTTTTGCTACATCAATTGTTTTACGGAAGTAACACACCAATTTCCGGTTCTTGTACACCAAAAATCTTTTAATATTATTTGGTACATTATGTTGAGATACTATAGTGAAAATTTCAGAAAATTTGAGAACCGGTAAATTTGTCATATAAATGTCAAATTGTAGCAACGTCTATTTCCAAATATAATGCAATAACCTTATGACTATAGTCATGTTTGATCCTTTAACAATATGTCGCACCAATTTATTATCGCAACTGATCAAAGTTTCATCAATAAGGTCTGCTGCTTATGATGAGCCCAACTATAAAACTATTTGTTGCCAAATAAAAAAGTTATGCAGTCTCTCACACATAAAAGTTTATTATGTTATGTACATTTTTAGTTGTTTCGCATCTTTACGGAAGTGATAGACACAATTTCGATTTTTGTACACCAACGAATTTTGGATATTATTTGGCACATTATGTTGACTGACGATAGTAGAAATTTCGAAAAAATCGGTATTCGGTAAATGTGTCATCTTAAGGTTAATATGGTGTATGACCAATGTCAAAATAAATCTTCAATAACTACAGGTCAATGCAAGTATTTCATAATTAACCCAAAATCATTCCAATATACTATCAAGGTGGATGATATGGTTTATAGTAGAGTATGACTGTTTAACTAAACTAGGTAGTTAAAGGGGGGCATACAGCAAACGTTAGGCAATTTGTCAGAACATTTGGTGTACCAGTATAATATGTTGAAGCTATGTTAATGCATAACATTGGTTCTTTTTAGGAGAGTTATAGTTTCCAATTCATGGATTGTTGTATTTACTGGTTTTTTTTTAGTTTCACAACACATAGTCAAAATTGGTTATTAAAAACATTTTTATGAATTTCTACTTTCTAAGTCAATCTTAGGTCATGCTTCTCCTTTTGAATGCATTCACAATATGCAGTCTCTGAATTTGCGAGCTGAAGGCTGGAGCGTTTTAGCATCTGTTAAATGTGCATAGTATCCTAGATAATACAGTATTGATGCGACATGAGCACACATACCCGATGTTCTCTTTCCTGCAGGACACACACAATAGTATGCCTTTACAGGATCCTCTGATGCGTGTTGGTCAAACTCGATCCAGACATTGTATTTTGCTTGCGACCTGTGGCGAGAGTGTATTTGGCCTCGGAGAAGGTCATCAGCATGTTGGTACACCCATATCTCATAATCGCCCCCATCTGTCTGATGTTCGGTGATATAGCCAGGTGCCAGTTTCAGCTGATATGTACCACAAGCCAAAGTCTCCAGGTATTCCAAATCTAGCTTTGGAAACGGGATTTGCGAGGCTTCCAGCTTCTTCCATTCACTCTTTGCTCTGCGGGTCATATTTGGATCATCAGCTACACGCTTGGCCAACGCATTGTCACTGTCCAAGAGAGACAACATGCGTTTTGCCATTTGTGTATCACGCTGCTCACGAAGTGGATCAGAACAATATATTGGTCCTCGGAACGCATTCAGACATGCAGTCACAATGCGAACGAGTTTGTCAATAACCGGAACCAGAACGTTTGAAGGAAGTTTTTCTCTGAACAGAATCCACTTCTTCAAACGCCCATGGTAGGCTTCGACAACCCAACGGGTTTTGGTACATTGGCGATCTTCATTCGCCTGGGAAGCATCTACTTGTGATTTCCCAGGGGGAAGGAAGGATGGCATTTTTGAATCGTACCCCAACTCGGCTAAAACATCGAGGACATCCCTAAAACCACGATCGACAATAACATTGTCATGTTCATCAAGCCAAGACTTCAGGAGGTCAAAGTTTTCAATGATAAGTTTAGTTATTGATGCATCATTAACACTTCCATAATACGGTCCGATTGTGTCCAACACATATCCATCTGGCAACACAATTGACATAAACTTCAGATAATTCGTTTTCTTTTGTCCGCAATATGATGATCTCTGGAATGCATGATGCGAACTTTTGTTTAGATAGATGTAAGTGCCATCAAGTATGAGACTTGCTTTGTCCCCAAAAAATGCTTTGGTAAACACTGTGTTGTGTGATAAGGCTTCTTTGCGTGACATATGGTTTGTTCCAAGGTATTGGGGCACAACGGTTACATTCAAAACTTCGATAATCTTGTGGAAATATCTGGACAGTGAGGCTGTTGATAATTTGGTCAGAACTGACAACTGGTTCCAAGACAGATCAGTTTTTAATTTTGCACAGAAAAAAAGGAGCAAGTCTTCGGAGCACACACCATCAGTAAAAGCTGAAAGGATGTCGGGTTTGCACATCTCATGCATTTCCATAAACTGCTTTAGAGTCCATTCTGTCCATGCATGGCAATCTGAATCCGACAATGTTTTCAATTGTAGTTTTGGAGAATTTCCATATTTAGACACGTTATGTATGATCTCAAGAAGATCAGTTATGACCTCGGAACCAATAGCGTTATCAAGTTTCGTTTGCAAGGATGCCCTATCGACCATAGCTACTTCAGTATCTGGGTGTAAAATGCTTCCGATGATGTGTTTAGGACAAATACACGCATCACGAGGGAACCAAAGCCTGTGATTTACCATTAGAGAATGTTGCACTTGTTTCGGAATGGTAGCACATGTGTCATTATACTGGAGACATACAGAACATTTGCGATAAGAAGAGGATGCATATTTCAGATCTGTGATATTCAAGAGGGGCACTGACGGAATAATGGGGATGGCATCAATAACATCTTCCTCATCTTGCAAATCACGACCGGTTTGTTCTTCTCCCTGAGAATAGTGACTCTCCACAGATGTGCTTGAATGAAGTCTCTTCCTGACACATTTGTCCATAACATCTCATGCATATCTTACTGCCATCTTCTACAATCAGATCTTGGTTTATAAGCATATGTTTCAACCAAGTATTATGCGGGGAGTCCAGCAATCTGGCTGTTTTACCGTCCTTTTTATATCCTTAAATCTTTTCCTACATTCTGGCATGATACAGGCATCACCCATGATGAAAGAATAATTTGAAGACTACTAGTATAGCTAGCTATGAATTACAAGATGTGAGTATGTGTGATCATGTGTACCTTGAAAACTGAAGTGATCCTATCACCACATCCCTATACCTTGGTATATTTTTCCTAAACTGCATTTCACATAAAAACAATATGATATAAACGGGGGTTTTATCCAAGGAGGTCAATTACCACAACCTATTTATTTAGGCCATTGTACATATCCTAACTGCAATTCTACCATTAGGATTCCATTTGTAGTCCATTTAGTTAAACAGTTGATCAAGACTCTGCTATAAACCATATCATCCACCTTGATAGCATATTGGAATGATTTTGGGTTAATTATGAAATACTTGCATTGACCTGTAGTTATTGAAGATTTATTTTGACATTGGTCATACACCATATTAACCTTAAGATGACACATTTACACGAATACCGATTTTTTCGAAATTTCTATTATCGTCAGTCAACATAATGTGCCAAATCATATCCAAAATATGTTGGTGTACAAAATCCGAAATTGTGTCTATCACTTCCGTAAAGATGCGAAACAACTAAAAATGTACATAAAATACTAAACTTTTATGTGTGAGAGATTGCATAACTTTTTTATTTGGCAACATCTAGCTTTATAGTTGGGCTCATCATAAGCAGCAGACCTTATTAATGAAACTTTGATCAGTTGCGATAATAAATTGGTTCGACATATTGTTAAAGGATCAAACATGACTATAGTCATAAGGTTATTGCATTATATTTGGAAATAGACGTTGCTACAATTTGACATTTATATGACAAATTTACCGGTTCTCAAATTTTCTGAAATTTTCACTATAGTATCTCAACATAATGTACCAAATAATATTAAAAGATTTTTGGTGTACAAGAACCGGAAATTGGTGTGTTACTTCCGTAAAACAATTGATGTAGCAAAAAAGTGTATGAAAATACCAAAATTTTTAGACTTTAAGATTTTATAACTTTTTTATTATGTAATTTTTTGTTACATATTTGAGTTCATAATTTGCAACAGATCCTACTGTAAATAATATAATATTATTTGATAGCGTAAAACATTGTTTTGATAGTTTTTTGGACAAAATGTGAACCCTGTCGTACACCTTTGGAAGGCGGCACTAAATAGTTCGTAGCACAGGCCCTGGGGACCTTTTTATTTTTTTAAAAATATCTCATAGGTCGTGTCTTAGGGAGCTACAAATATAAACCAGTAATGGTTAAATTGCTTCGTGGGCAAAATTCTTTTGTTCCTGTAACAGGTCCTTTTAGATATTGTTCAAAATGGTTTTTTTTTATTAACTCTAAATCTGAGGTTACGTTTCTGTTTTGTTATAGTATGATTTCACAGACATTAATATTATTCATAGACATGATTTTAAGGACACACTATGTGCAGTTTCACATATATCATATTCACTTTATGTTTTGCGTTGTGTATGTTGTAGAAGTCAAAATTAAAACAAAATTTGTATATATTGTTGACTGGTCTACACAACACTAAAACAAATTCAGAAATCTGAAGTTGCAATGAAGAATGGATTAGGATTGATATTGTATGTAATACAGGATTACTGATGTAAGCTCTATGCACAGGTGTGACAGCTGATTACCTTTTAGAAGTATAGTTTTAGATAGTTGTACCGGATATCGTGGAATGTGGATGACTGAGTGACGTAGATAAACATAAACTACAAGTTCCATTCAAAAATATCTCAATTACATCTCAAGTACAGATTGCATAATAGTATGCTCAGCTAGTGCCAAATTCCTGCTGTATTCTCAGCTGGAATAACATTTGTCTTATCATAATGTGTTGTATTAGGCAGATTACTTAACACAATGCATTAACATAACTCCTGGCAACACAGATTCTTAATATGAATCTAATTTAGGACGGCATTGATAATTAAATAACATCCTGATACTTGGCACATGGGTATTTTTAAGGTAGAGAAATGATTAATCTACTAGTTTTATTGTTGGGAATAGATCTGTCCAGTATATATATATTTAGAAAAACCTTAGATGTTTTGTTTGTACATATACTATTAGTGACTCATGAATGGATGTATAGCAATGTGAAGTCTAGAGAAGTAATTGGCATTGAAATGTTACAAAATACGACACGGGAATGATGCATATAATAACTAGTTTGTTGATGCAGAAAGCCAAACAAAGTAAATATTAACTCATTCACCCCTGAAACTTCATAATGAACTATTCCAACCTTTGAATTGCAAGAGTTCAAATGTTTCTTCAGGGGTGAATGAGTTAATAACCATACCTTATGGCTATTTCGACCATTTAGGACTCATCAGTGATGATCAGTTGTAATACAGGAAGAAAACTCCTGTCAAAAGTATTCCGAAATATACGTAGAAAGGTACAAAAAAAGGTACCTATAAAACACTTCATAACATTATGGATTCACGGCTACAGCAGATAATTTATTCTTAAAATCAGTATTTCATGTAAACCACACCTGAATAAAATCCAGACAATTGACGTTATTGGGGGACTGATAAGCCACCAGCAAAGTCAACCCATCTTGCGACACTAAATTATCATGAGAAATACAAAGTAACTAAATTAAATAAATTGTTTGGTTGCATTAAACTATATGTTCAAGACAGAAACACCAAAGTTTTTTGTTGCTATAACAGATCCTCAGGCGTCGGAAATGACTGTTTCAGCCACTTTAAAAGTTTTAATCGAATGAAACTGAGAACAGATAGGCTTATTTTCTAGACAATGTTTTGGTGAATATCAGTATTATATTTTATCAAAGAAGCATTAAAAAATAATTGTGAGTGAGGAACATTTTAAGTAACATATTCTTAAAATAAATGTACATTCTGCTTGTAGAAAAGCGTTAATTCGAACCGTCGGGTTCTAAAAGTCAGTTTTTGGTAAAGTTAGTTTTCACTGTATAAAAGTATTGTGAATATAGAGGCAGTTTAATTCTTCTTCTATTAGCATGTAAAGTTATATGTAGATTATGCAAATTAAAAGAATTTTCCCCTACTCCCTAGGGAGTGACAAAGAAATCATACCCTAGGGAGTGACAGAGAAATCATACCCTAGGCAGTGACAAAGATATCATACCCTAGGGGGCGACAGAAAAATCATACCCTAGGGAGTGACAGAGAAATCATACCCTAGGCAGTGACAAAGATATCATACTCGAGGGGTTGACAGAGAAATCATACCCTAGGGAGTGACAGAAAAATGATACCCTTGTGGCTGACAGGGAAATCATATCCTAGGGGTGACAAAGAAATCATACCCTAGGGGGGTGACAGATAATTCATATTCTAGGGGTTGACTGAAAAATGTAACCCTCCTGGAACTGACAGAAAAAAATGATACTCTAGGGGGGGTGATAGAGGTATCCTACTCCAGTGGTGACAGAGAAATCATACCCTAAGGCATCCTCGATATCCAGGGGTTATGCTCACTTTCACTCTCTACACCCCTAGAATATGTCGTAGCAAAATTGAAGGCACAAAGATAGCTGTTTGATTGGTCTCAGGTAAAAAAAGACCTGACCAATCGCTAGGCTGATACCTGTCCTTTGAAGATTATAAAGGAGAGACACCCGACTTCAAAGCTTGTCAATTTTTACCGTTAGGTGACCACTGACAAGATTTTTTTTATGTATATCAAAAGATCGAACTAGTCTTCTTGTCTCATCAACAAGGTGGCGCACACCGAGCCTTCAATTTCGCTATGACATATGCCATGGGTGTAGAGAGCAAACGTGAGCGTAACCCCTGGATATCGAGGATGACCCTAAGGGTGACAGGGAAATCATACCCTAGGGGGTGATATAGGAATTATACACAAGGGAGTGACAGAGAAATCATACCCTAGGGGGTTGACAAAAACACTCTGGAACAGGTAAAAGCCGAGATAATTCTGTGAGTGGTGATAGGATAACACATCCCTTCACAGATCCTGAAATGAATCTTTTCTATTTCAAAGGTCACAAAAGTTGAAATGGAAGTAAATTTATTGTCTGTCAACATGTATTTAAAACCTCTTAAAAACATAGAAATAGGAGGCTTGCAAAATTATATATTTATAAACAAAACTGCTTAGAAACGTTATTATAAAAAGAACTTCTTCTGATTAAAAGCCTTAATAAGTTACAGAACTTTCCCTTATCATTGATGCCAGGAATGAAAGTAAGAAAGACAACTGTGCATTGAACATGAATTGATGTGAAAAGATCTCTTGCTGACAGTTTTCAAAAGGAAGTACAGTGTAGTACCTTAAACAAACTCATTCAATAGTTTTGAAGGTTTATGAAATAACATTCACAGAACACATGCATTTAACAAAACCTTTTTGTTTTGCAGGGTTACGGAAGAGCTGACCACTCTGTCACCTTCTTAGTACTTCAGAAGAAGTTTGGGAGTAACTACAACATCACATTCAGCAATGAGGGCTACTAGACGCTACACTTATTCCTCATATATTTACTGACACATAGAAGGAGTAAAAGGAGTATGTTCAGTATAACACTGATACTAGAGGCGACGAACTTTAAAAACCACACAGCATTTTGACTCAGCATCATCGTACCTAGAGGAGAAGAGGTTGGAATATCAGTCAGCACCTTGACAGACTTTGAAGGAGGTTGACTACAGGAACGTTACTTTTATTTTACTAGAACTAGTGTCTATAAAACATTAAGTTTACATTTAAGTTGTTGCCCAAGTCAAAAAGAAGAGAATGAATCAACTGGATACCATATGTAACCACGGTTACATGTATGTACTTAAACTGGAGTCAACATGGTTACCTCATATGACCATGGATTCCTGCACCCGAGTCAACATGGTTACCTCATGTGACCATGGTTTCCTACACTTTAGTCAACATGGTTACCTCATGTGACCATGGTTTCCTACACTTTAGTCAAAAAGGTTACCTCATGTGACCATGACTTCCTGCACCCGAGTCAACGTAGTTACATCATGTGACCATGGTTTCCTACACTTTAGTCAAATGGTTACCTCATGTGACCACAGTTTCCTAAACTTAAGTCAACATGGTTACCTCATGTGATGGTGGTTTCCTTCACTTTAGTCAACATGGTTGCCTCATGTGACCATAACTCCCTACACTTGAGTCACCATGGTTACATCATGTGACTGTAACAACCTACACAGGTTTGAGAAGGATGGGGATGGTTCTAATATTTGATGTCATAAAGGATTTTTGGAAAAATGAATCTGTTGGAACTCTGATGACAATCATTTAATGTAACTTTATTTTGTTGATGTAATGATATAAGTAAGTTACTTTCAGTATTTTAAAGATTTTCTGTCCTCTTCACTTGCCAAAATAGTGATATTTAGCATTAACATTAACACCAAGCAAAAGACCTCTACATGACATTTCAAATTTGTTTATGCATGTTCTTAAAAAAAATGGGGAACATGTACATGTGTTATGGTATATTGTATAGATCTAGCTATTTAATGTGTGTTTAATGAAATCATTTAAAATTAAAATTTATTTTCATTCAAATCTACCTTCTGTACTAGGTTAGTTCTATTTACCAAAAATAAATGATTTTTGCCTATGAGTAAAGTTTGTCTCTATTTATTGTTGTGAATTAAGATTGGTTGTTTATGATACACAAATGTTGTCATTCATATAGGATCTTACATGAGTTTCCATTTCATATGATATTTATGAAACGAGTAAGAATTTTTCAATTTAGCGAGCTAAAATGAAAAATTTGTGATGAGTTTCATAAATTTCATATGAAATGAAAACGAGTGTAACATCCTTATTTTTACGTAATCAAGATTTGTGGCATTTATTCGTGTTAAACGACAATTTTCATGCAACCTTGACATGTAAAAAGCCGCCATTTTGACTCCAGTGCGTAAGTCTGTGACGCCGTGTTCTTGTCCTAGTGTGATGTCACAATTGAAATCATTGAAACTTACAACCAATCACAGGACTGATAGGTCATATGACATGGGTTAACATTCACTGGATAACACAGTACATTATGTAATAAATGGTTTTATCATGTAAAATGGTGGTGATGAACATTTGCTGAAGTTATATCATGATTTTTAGTTGATATGAAATGCTGACTTTTGTTGATAAGTATTTTAATGTATTTAATATTTACAGTTTAAAAATAATCTTAATTAATTAAAGTGGTTATAGTAACCATTTCATTTGAATGTGTTGAATGAATCTTTGGTAAAAATGTGCCTTCATTCTTGTTTTCAAGTTTCCATGATTATGACTGATTTAGTCGGTTTTATCGGGCCAATGTCTAGGTTTTGAGATTACATGTAAGCTCGGTTGTAGTCATTTTCAAGAAGACTGTGTCTTGAAACATTAACTTGGTGATTGTAAAATTGATCTTAAACAAGGTCACACATCTGCACATGCACTTATGTATTCCATAACTTGTGAAATATTTTGGAACCTAATCAGTGTGGCCACAATGAACCTTCGAAAATACTGTACATGTCTAAATAGGAGGAATTCCGTCCCAAATTTGGATGTCTGAAAAACATTTTATTGTACATGTTACTTATTTATCATTTTGTTTTTTATTGAACTTTTACATAGCGAAAGATGCAACATTTTGGCCAACCTTTTTTTTTAAATGCTCATCTTTAGGGAAATGGCCATCTATTTTGTGGAAATTTGAAAACAACAACATACTATTTTCATTGTATGTGTTGAAAAAATAAAATATGTTGTATCTAGTGTTCTGTTTCATTTTCATTGTATGATCATACAATTGTCAAGTCCCAAACATACATAAGCTTAAGTCATATAATGAAATAGTATGTCTTTTTTGACAGTTTAAAATATCTTAATGTCCCAAACAAAATGGAGGAGTATCAAGAATGGAGTACTGAGTTCACCGTACTGAACCGTATGTACACAACAGCGAAAGTATTGCCTAGTCAAACATGCATGACTGCTGCACATGTACAGGTCGATATGCAAAATCCACACTAAAATAACGGTTGAAACATCGAACCTGTTCTAAGTAAAACAAAGATATACATGCTAAAAGCAGCGTTGCAACACAGGACATATCAAACAGTAAAAAGACAAAAGGAACTGATCATGAGGAAATACCAAACTAAATGAAAACATAGACATGAAAACCCCCAGAAGTGAGACTAGGTAGTCTGTCAAGTGTTTTTCTGTACTACATAATGTCTCGTGATAAATTCACCGGACTATCCCCTTGCAAGGAAAATTCAAGGGGATAGTCATAATAGGGCTCAGCCCGTACGTACCTTTTGTATGAATGAATGTAAGTTAAACTCTTTGTCATCGGTCTAGCGACTTCATTTCTCAACAGAATTTCATGAATTTTCCAATAAGTGTTTGGTATGTCAATGCCTTTAACAAGGTCATCTTTCAGATTCCTACGTTGAAGGTCAAGGTCACTGTTACTATTTTTAGAGAGAAAAAAATTGTCATTGCTCTTACATTGTACAACTTCATTCATCAACGGAATTTCATGAAACTTGATACAAGAGTTTGGTATGACAATACCTTGAAACCAAATGTGATTGGCCGGTAATATTGTTCTTGTAAAAAATAAGTATATAACACGTTTACATGACTGATATTGATCAATGTAGGTATTTTTGCGATGTTCTTCGATAAAAAGTGATTACATATGTAAGTACCAAGTAACCGAAATTATCTCTTAACTGCTCATTATGATTCACATACACGCATATATATGACATTAAATCATATTACCCAGCGCTGCCACACAAAAATAATCACTGGAGATACGAAATAGTTAAAGGAAGCGTATTTTAAAACACTGCACGTTTGCCCAACAGTCAGCTTTTACAGCACCTTATGACTATTTCATTCGTTTAAGACTCATCATTGGTACTAAAGGACCGCAAAATGGAAAGTCATGTCTACAGTACTAGGATACATGCATGAATACAGCAAAAAGAGAAATATTCCTATAAGATAAAATTTGAAAATGAACCAAATCTGTTTGATAAACATGATAAACAACCAACACTCGCTGCGAAAGCTCTGTGTGTAGCGACTAGATCGCATATACATGTAAATCACCAAAACATAGCTTTTCCTTGTAACAAGCACGTGATTTTGCATCTCCGATGATGATAATAGTTGATAGATATGACGCCAAAACGTAAACACAAGTTCATAGGAGTGTTACAATGGCCCATATTTTATATGAATGCAAAGATGCTTTATAGCAAGGGCGATACCAGTGGAGACACGACTAGGTACTTCGGAGATTAGCCAACGCTCTCGAGAGGGGGTGAAGAAAAGATAAGCAAACAACGGGTTCCAAGCAAACGGGAAACTAGTTTGTTTGTGTGGGAAATACATACTGACCATTATCTCATCAAACCAGCAACTTGCTAGATAGTTCATCATGACAGATGTCAGTATACCTAGATAGTTCATCATGACAGATGTCAGTAGACCTAGATAGTTCATCATGACAGATGCCAGTAGACCTAGATAGTTCATCATGACCGATGTCAGTAGACCTAGATAGTCCATCATGACAGATGCCAGTAGACCTAGATAGTTCATCATGACAGATGTCAGTAGACCTAGATAGTTCATCATGACAGATGTCAGTAGACCTAGATAGTTCATCATGACAGATGTCAGTAGACCTAGATAGTTCATCATGACAGATGTCAGTAGACCTAGATAGTTCATCATGACAGATGTCAGTAGACCTAGATAGTTCATCATGACAGATGTCAGTAGACCTAGATAGTTCATCATGACAGATGTCAGTAGACCTAGATAGTTCATCATGACAGATGTCAGTAGACCTAGATAGTTCATCATGACAGATGTCAGTAGACCTACATAGTTCATCATGACAGATGCCAGTAGACCTAGATGGTTCAGCATGACAGATGTCAGTAGACCTAGATAGTTCATCAAGACAGATGTCAANATGTAAATCACCAAAACATAGCTTTTCCTTGTAACAAGCACGTGATTTTGCATCTCCGATGATGATAATAGTTGATAGATATGACGCCAAAACGTAAACACAAGTTTATAGGAGTGTTACAATGGCCCATATTTTATATGAATGCAAAGATGCTTTATAGCAAGGGCGATACCAGTGGAGACACGACTAGGTACTTCGGAGATTAGCCAACGCTCTCGAGAGGGGGTGAAGAAAAGATAAGCAAACAACGGGTTCCAAGCAAACGGGAAACTAGTTTGTTTGTGTGGGAAATACATACTGACCATTATCTCATCAAACCAGCAACTTGCTAGATAGTTCATCATGACAGATGTCAGTAGACCTACATAGTTCATCATGACAGATGCCAGTAGACCTAGATAGTTCATCATGGCAGATGCCAGTAGACATTGGCAAGCAGTTAAACTTCCCAAATGTAGTCCAGACACTTTGCGACCAGATGTGGTACTATAGCTAGTCAGCTTAGACAAGAGAATCATCATGATACAAATTTAGTGTGCCTTGGGAAGACAGATTCGACAAGAGAATAAACTCTTAAGTATATATATATATATATTGGGAGTTGAAGAAAACCTGCAAGTCAACAGGATGGAATTCCTGGCTATTCCCGATAGAAGTGGTTTACGCTGGATTCCAAGCCAATTTATGTGGAACGTCTTCCACGCGTTAGAGGTGCACGGTAAAGATCGACGACATGTATTCAGTGTCTTGGGAGAGCAAGCCGAAAGAGCATCATGCTGGATATGGCACCGGCGAATGCCAATGAGTGGAAGTCGCACATGACAGGTAGTGAGAACATCACCATTATGGACCCACCGACTGTTGGATGTCATGGTTTTGAAGGATCGAAACATCAAGCGACGGTTTGTAATCATCTGATGATGTTGAATTGGCTACCTACACACCTTCATCAGATGATGTTGAATTGGCTACTACACACCTTCACCAGATGATATTGAATTGGCTATCTACACACCTTCACCAGATGATGTTGAATTGGCTACTAAACACCTTCACCAGATGATATTGAATTGGCTACTACACACCTTCACCAGATGATATTGAATTGGCTATCTACAAACCTTCACCAGATGATGTTGAATTGGCTACCTACACACCTTCATCAGATGATGTTGAATTGGCTACTACACACCTTTACCAGATGATATTGGATTGGCTACCTACACACCTTCACCAGATGATGTTGAATTGGCTACTAAACACCTTCACCAGATGATATTGAATTGGCTATCTACACACCTTCACCAGATGATGTTGAATTGGCTACTAAACACCTTCACCAGATGATATTGAATTGGCTACCTACACACCTTCACCAGATGATGTTGAATTGGCTGCTACACACCTTCACCAGATGATATTGAATTGGCTACCTACACTCCTTCACCAGGTGATGTTGAATTGGCTACCTACACACCTTCATCAGATGATGTTGAATTGGCTACTACACACCTTCACCAGATGATATTGAATTGGCTACATACACTCCTTCACCAGGTGATGTTGAATTGGCTACCTACACACCTTCACCAGATGATGTTGAAATGGCTACCTACACACTTTCACCAGATGCTGTTGAATTGGCTACCTACACACCTTCACCAGATGATGTCGAATTGGCTACCTACACACCTTCACCAGATGATATTAAATTGGCTACCTACACACCTTCACCAGATGATATTAAATTGGCTACCTACACACCTTCACCAGATGATATTGAATTGGCTACCTTCACCAGATGATGTTGAATTGGCTACCTACAAACCTTCACCAGATGATGTTGAATTGGCTACTACACGTCTTCACCAGATGATGTTGAATTGGCTACCTACACACCTGCACCAGATGATGTTGAATTGGCTACTACACACCTTCACCAGATGATGTTGAATTGGCTACTACACGTCTTCACCAGATGATGTTGAATTGGCTACCTACACACCTTCACCAGATGCTATTGAATTGGCTACCTACACACCTTCACCAGATGATGTCGAATTGGCTACCTACACACCTTCACCAGATGATATTGAATTGGCTACCTTCACCAGATGATGTTGAATTGGCTACCTACAAACCTTCACCAGATGATGTTGAATTGGCTACTACACGTCTTCACCAGATGATNCTACACACCTTTACCAGATGATATTGAATTGGCTACCTACACACCTTCACCAGATGATGTTGAATTGGCTACCTACACACCTTCACCAGATGATGTTGAATTAGCTACCTACACACCTTCACCAGATGATGTTGAATAGGCTACTTCACACCTTCACCAGATGATGTTGAATTGGCTCCTACACACCTTTACCAGATGATATTGAATTGGCTACCTACACACCTTCACCAGATGATGTTGAATTGGCTACCTACACACCTTCACCAGATGATGTTGAATTAGCTACCTACACACCTTCACCAGATGATGTTGAATAGGCTACTTCACACCTTCACCAGATGATGTTGAATTGGCTACTACACACCTTCACCAGTGATGAATAACTGTTAATTTATAATACATATGAAATATACACCGCTTGTAATCTAGTTACACAACGTCTCAACTTGCCAGCGATAATAGCCATTATTTCCTACTTAGTTGTTCTGCAGCCGTTACCGTAACTGAGAACGTTCCTCCTCTTGTTACATAATTATATTTATCACACTGTATGTTCTCATCACGAGCACGTGGATAAAATCGAGAGGCCACCGCAGGCGCAAGCAGACGTTCTTTTTTGAGAAAAATGTTTCCAAGTGCTGGAAAATGGGAAAAAAGTAGTATAAAGTAGTATATAGATGATAATTATAGATTATCAAACTGTATTAGCATATAAGGCCATCGCATGCGCGAGCAGACGTTCTTTTTTGAGAACATACGTTCCCAAGTGCTGGAAAATGGGAAAATCAGTTCTGAAGTTATTCTCAAGTTGTTCTCAAGTCGTTCTCAACTTCTTTTCATACTGACAACCAATTATAATGAATAAAGTAGTATAGATGATAATCAATTTTACCGCAGCAGAAGATGCACTCCAAGTTATAAGCATATTGTTCCGTTGATTTCTCTGTGCATGGAAAACGGGAAACTGTCAAAAGCAGTTTATCTCCAGATACTTATTGCACCTTTCAGAGCTCTGCTATTATACTATGCATTGAAGTTAATTATATAGCTAGAAAATCGATTTTAAAAGGAAGTTGTTACTCGGGATGAAGCATATATAAGTGCGTTAATAACCATGTTACAATTATCGGTACAGACAGGCTACAGCTATAATACTTGTGTTTAAACGAGCGATTCAGGTCTAGTAGCAGTATACAGTATTACAGAGCATGATGTCAATTACTTGACCGTACATAAACGTTGACAAATCAATCACTTGACCGTACATAAACGTTGACAAATCAATCACTTTTATCATGTTCCCTAAATCAAATCATGTTCCCTACTTAATGAATTTTGAATAAAAACGTTTTAATCAACTAGACAGAGGCTGAAATAATTCCATACAGGGGGGACCAAGGAATTAATTTTGGGTGTTGCCCAAAATTTTAAACTCAGAAAAAGACATTTTTTGCACTTATCTAGAACTAATAAATTAGAATTGTCATGTCGGTTGTATATGTATATTACCTTCTGGCACCAAAAAATATATATAGAACTTCATTTTTTCTGAGATTGTGACAATTATTTCCCAGTCGAGCGGAGCGAGATGTACATGTACTACTAAACTATTTCAAGCACTGCCGAGCGTAGATAGCAAAGAATGATCGGACATTATTTCCATTGTCAAACAGATCGAGTGAGCAGGGACGTATAGTGTCCCTGGAGTGAGCAGGGACGTATAGTGTCCCTGGAGTGAGGCGTAGAACAGTTTTCGGAGTTTCAAGGTTATATTTTATAACGTAGAGTATTCATATTTTATGATGGCCGTACGGAGCGATTGTTAACAAATTTTGTAAAATAAATGGTAAAAATGAAGGTTTTTGGTTAAAATGTTGATGCCCTTCATGTGCATTTAGTTTATGCGAGCATTTTGGCAATTTAATATTGATTGATTTTGTCATAAATATGAATTATGATTTAACTTTTTGTCTTTTATTGTGAATTATTCGTATACATATGTACAAGGGCAACACCTAATGAAAAGGATGTATACTCCAGGCTTTTATGCTAACATTGGTTATTATTCACCTGATAAATTGATGCTAAATGATTTCATTGTCTTTGAAATTTATATTTTTTAATTGATATTAAATATCACTCCTGGTGATCATGTGTACATGAAACCACAGGTGAAAATAAAGGTTTATCTAGCATGAAATGGACTCTACCTTTGATATAACACTTAACCTATATACCTAATTCCAATATGGTATAGTCCTCTCCCAACTGACAGGGTGATCACACCGTGACATTAGAACAATAAGATTAGGTAGAGTCAGTCCGGTGAGCCTTGACCACTGACCTGACTGGAGACCCTACTAATATATAGACAATAGAGGATTAACCCCCTATTGTTTAGAATATAAGTATGGGTAGTGGACTCCTTGTTTGGGCAACCCCCTTAGGCATATATAGATATTCAAACTGCTGGCAAGGGGAAGCCATAGAAAATCATAGTTCAAGGGATGGTTGATATTAGAAGGGAAACCAACATGAAATGGAGGAGAATCTTAGGAGATTATTTTTTGACACAGAAAAAGGGTGTTGCCCGGGCAACTAGGGCAACACCCCTGGATCCGCCACTGCCACATAAGACTATTGTGCGGTTTCCAACGTTGCAGAACCTGATGCTATTATTAGGTGCATCTATTTATATGGTTAAGAAAATGTAAGTGTGATTAATGCTTTGTTTATGTCATTTTAAAGAAATTGATAGCCTGTCTTAAATTTTCTTTTCTTGTCATTGTTTCGGGGTTACTTCAATATTATCAAAGTACGTTTAAACTTGAAAACTGTTTTATGATTAATCATTGAGAAATATAACATTCAAATATGATATACATGTATATTAAACGTGGATATTAATTACGATACTTTATTCCAAAGGTCGTTGTAGTTAGATACAGCTGTATATACTCATTGTAGTAGGTATACCAGAAATGCTATGAAACGCTGTCTTTAGGACGAAGGGTAGTAACTCCCATAAAATAACGACATTCACAGATGAATACTTTTGTGATTATACCGAAACTAATTTTACTTTTTTTTCTTAACGTTACCATCTATGTCGCGTTAAGCAGATTACGTCCATACTGGCCGATCCCATGGACTCGGAACCCTAATATATCTCGAAGGTTAACTAATCCTGACATGATAAGAAGCGGGACAGACTACGGCCACTAAGCTGACCAGTAATAACCAGATAACACCTGTACAAGATCGCTTACCGAACGTCTTCTCGCAAGCAATATTTCAAACAACAATATTTGGTAAGATTATTGGTTTTCTAGTATGCATATGAACCATTTTTTATAATACATGTAGTTATGTCATAAATGGTATCATCGGAAATCTAATGTTAGAAATTATTCAGACAATGTTTAGTGAACACGATGTGCGTGTCATATTGACATTATAAAACAGTTACGTATAACCCCTCATGGTGTCAGATAAAAGTAAGACACACACGTGTGTTTGTAGCTATCACAGTTGCCTATAGATGCAGTATGCAAAAAAATGAATTACACTGAATCATAGAGCTGTAAGTCAAAACAATGCATAGCCTGCTCTCAGTTCATTAAATGCACTTGTATTTATTGTAGCTGTCAACATCCGGGTATTTGTTCACCGAGCCAGAGGAAAGCAGAACTTGAGGAGGACATGGAAAGACGTATGCCCGACTTGTAATTGAAGTATAGTATGCTGTGAAATTCGTCTCTGGATATAGAACCGAAGAGTCTTCCTAGCTTTATTAAGCCTTAGAATCAAAAGCGACATGGCGACATTTACCACATTCGACTATTGCCTCTTTGTGGCAGTGCTTCTTGTTTCCTTTTTCATCGGGCTGTATTACATGCTGAAAGAAAAATTCGCAAAACAGGAATCTACTTCCGACGATATTTTAATGGGCGGACGAGATATGCCAGTATTTCCGGTAGCTATGTCTCTAGTTGCTAGCTACATGTCTGCTATTACCGTTTTGGGAGTCCCGACAGAGATGTACGTTTTCGGTACAGAATACTACTTGGTGGCATTTTCAGGACTATTGACGTATCCTATCACCTGTTTTGTGTTCCTGCCATTTTTTCATAACTTGGGACTATCAAGTGCATACCAGGTAAATTGTTCGCTCCTATGGTTTTTTTGCAATGTTATTCACTTTCGTTCTTCATGCTTAATGTTAGATAACTTTTAAGCATCAGTTATCGGACGGGTGAAGCTGAGTCTAAAATGGCTTCAGTTGTCGATGGGATGTAAAACAATGCAAAACAAAAATACATGTAATTTAATACTAAATATATCTGTTAAGTTGTCAAATTTATCTTTTTAGTCGTACACTATTTCGACGCTCTGCAGTTTTTATCACCATATAAATGACCATATTAATTGTACCCGTAATTAGTCAAGTGCCGATTAATGTCCATAGGCCTCTTGTTTTTCGAGTACATATAAATATAGGGGTATTTTGCAACACAATGGGATAATCTCTCATGTGTTATATAGTCAGAGCACACGGGCACGCAACTACTATCAATATTGATCTTGTATTAGGTTTTCAGTCGCTAACGTACCCAGCGACTGAAAGCCTAAAACAAGATCAGTATTGATAGTAGTTGCATGTCCCTGTGGTCAGAGATAACTTAATATCAACACTAATACATTGCAGTACCTTGAACTCCGATTCAACAGTTGGACACGATATCTTGCAGCATTGATCTTTGCCATTGAAATGGTAAGTTGATACTTTCTTCGAATGTTATAGTTTTGCACGGTAAAACGCAATAATGCTGCATCTAGTAATGATACTAAAGCGGGCCAGACGTCATGTTTGCCTTTTCTTGGTACCGCTGGTCGTAACGTTTTAACGGACTCTTCAGTTTAGCCCCTCTCAAGATTTGTAACAGGACCAAAGAGAAGCAAAAATATTGGAAACGATACCCATCCACACCATTAAGCTGTATAATTTTAAATTAATAGAATCGTATGGATTAAGAGGACGTCCTCACTGAATACACACTGTTAAAGCACAAGAACGCTTTTATGGATAACGATTTAGTTGGTATCGCTTTTGTTTACTTGGGGGCTTCATAAAACTGTTTAGTTTGTTTTTCGTATCCATGGTTCACGTTATTTTTCATATCTGCGTTTGAGCTTCACCGTTGACACCTTGGTATATACCATTCTCCTATGTGTTGACACCGTGGTATAAACCATGTTTCTGTGTTGACACCGTGAGGTGTTATATACCATGTTCCTGTGTGTTGACACCGTGGTATATATCTTGTTCCTGCCTGTGTGTTGACACCGTGGTATATATCATGTTCCAGTGTGTTGACATCGTGGTATATATCCTGTTACTGTGTGTTGATACCATGGAATATACCATGTTCCTGTGTGTTGACACCGTGGTATATACAATGTTTCATGTTCCAGTGTGTTGACATCGTGGTATATATCATGTTTCTTTAAGTGCCATTGTTTTTACCAAACAGGTTGGCTAGGTATCGATACTAACACTTTATGTCTAAATCATAATATTGTATATACTTGTTTCAGGTGCTGTATATGGCTGTTGTGTTATATGCTCCAGCGCTTGCTTTAAATCAAGGTGAGACATATGTTTAGGTTTAGGTTTCATTCCTTTTTGTTGAATATATTTTTATTGATAAATTATCTGTAAAATAGTTTTCCGAGTTTAAAAAGGAAAGGGAGATCTCCTATCGTTATCTGTCGGTAAAACCATCAAATTATTATCAAACAGTCCAGATTTTTAGGACTACACAATTATTAAAGGCGAGATTATAACGAATGTCCTTAATGCTAGGGTCGATAGAATCAGGTTCAAATGTATCATTTATATTATCTAGCATTTGATGTCAGTTTTATCTGTTCCAGTGACTGGCCTTTCACTATCGGGGTCTATATTAAGTGTCGGTGCTGTAGTAACATTTTATACGTCTATGGTAAGTCTAACGTCAACTGTGAGGAGAGGAGGTGTAAGTTTTGGATATCAATAAATAATATGTTTACAAAGTGAGGAAACCTGTTTATATATATAGCAAGTCAATGTAAAAAGCAAAGCACATTTTATTTTTAATGAACCACATGCAAGACCATTTCGTCAATTTGGGACTTATTAGTTGTAACAATGGTCAAAAGAATGAATATATTGTTTAAAATGTTTAGAAATTAGCATGTATGCAGAAACACAGCAAAAGCGGAAAGCCTTTAATCCCTTAGAGAAAAACAAAGCATTAATCATAAAGTGCAATAGTTATCATCCAAATTGAAGAACTTTGTATAGCCCACTTAATATTATTGCTTTTGTATCGCCCTTGAATGGTCATGACATGCTTAGAAAATCTGCTAATAAGAGTAACGTTATAGGGAGGATTACGTGCCGTGCTGTGGACGGACACGTTCCAAACATTTGTCGTTGTTGGCGGTCTCGTTGGTATCATTGCTATCGGCTGCACGAAGTTCGGTGGAATTGGGGAGGTGTGGAACATCGCACAGCAAGGAGGCAGAATACAGTTCTTCAAGTACGTATAGTGTGTAAAACATTACACAAACAATTCAGTTATTTGCTAGCAATTCATTGATACTCGTAATTGTTGACTCGGACTACGATTCTGACGTTCCTGATTAATTAGAAATGAAACTACATTAACCTTTGCGTATGTACACTGTCTAGATACCTTACACGTTCGTCTTCAGACTATTTTATACTGGTACACTGTCTAAAAAATTTATACTGGTACACTGTCTAGATACCTTACACGTTCGTCTTCAGACTATTTTATACTGGTACACTGTCTAGATACCTTACACGTTCGTCTTCAGACTATTTTATACTGATAGCACTGTTGTGTACAGAATAGGTTTATCTAAATGAGAATTAAGATGGGACACTTGAAATGACTTACTGGATGCTTTTTGCTGCAGCTTCGACCCTAGCCCCTTCACAAGGTGCACGTTCTGGGGACTTATTGTCGGTAGTTTTATTGGTCAGCTGACGATCTACGGAGCCAATCAGACTATGTTACAACGATATATGAGTATCAGCAACGTCAAAAACGCACAGATGTAAGTATAATCATGTTCTGGTGAAACACACACGGCTACAGCACTGACCGCATGTACGATTATATTCGGATTATACATTTGTTTGTTTCAATTCTAGGCCCTGCGTTTACTACAGTAGTTCACTTCTGTGACAAAATAATATCTTGTTTCATCCTTTTCTGGTAAAATGGATTGGGGAAATGTTAATCCCTTGGATTTAGATTTGTTAGTACCGACCCGGCAGGACGCGTTCTGAACTTTGATTATTTATCATGATTCGGTGTAACTACAATGTACTGGATAAACATTTTTTCTGAAATCTGCACACAACATGGCATTCAAAGCACATTTACTTATAAAACGTTTATGTGCAAGTTTTGATTAAATAACAAAGATTATCACAACACCAATATAATATTATCGCCATTACTTTCATGCTATTTATTCCTTTTGTACGTTGGTTGTTCTTCGAACGACTGACTCGCTAAGGTTATTACTTAAAGAATTAATAACTATAAACACGTTGAGTTGTTGTGTTTGAACCGATTTTGGCGTAATATTTGAATTCGTGATCGTTTCACCTCGAGAACTAAAATTAAAATACCTCTCTCACATAATCGTATAGACTTAGAGCAGTATATTCAGGTGGTAACTTACAAATACGATTGGCTACATGTAGGGGGTGCTATTTGTGTTACAGAGCCTTATTCGTCAGCTTACCAGCAACCATCTTGCTGATCACTTTAGTGTGTCTGTCCGGACTGGTCATCTACGCCGAGTACCATGACTGTGACCCTCTACTGGACGGTAAACTCATATCCAGGGACCAGGTATGGCATTAACGACGAAGTGCCCTTATCATAAACTTGAAAGAAAACGTTCTTTTTTCGGACTGTTCAGTTATTTTGGTCCATTGCAAAATAATGCATCGCAATACCGTATGTTGTACATGTATATTATTTGTGCTGTGTTTCTTTTAATATACAAATTGTACTAAGGTACTTGTATTCACACATGTAAGCATACACAACACACATGGAAGCACGTCCTTAAATGACATTAGTTTTTAATAGGACGCTAAGCCCTATACAACAAACCAACCAACCAACTTATATTTTCATCAATGGTAGCTCTGGACTATATAATATAAAGCTATGAGGCGGTACTTTAACTGGGGCAGCATCCATGGAATGCCACCTTCATTGCCATGGAAACAACGACACATTAACCTAGTGTATCTGACAAGTGATGACTACATTGCTCCCTATATTGTAGCTACTGCCGTACTACGTCATGGAGAGCCTGGGCGGTGTACCCGGCATACCCGGACTGTTCGTGGCATGCATATTCAGTGCTGCACTGAGGTAATCCGTCTTAGACAAGGGATGGGAGATAACTTGCGTTGTACTGTCTATATTTTAGTGTAACCATTGGGAAAATTGTGAAAAATGGAATTAAAACTCTGACTGAAATATAGTCATGCGCTCGATGTTCAATTATTGTCAGCTTACCGATAATTGAAAGAGATTCATGTAACCATTATTAAAATTATGCGCCCGCTGTTTGATCATTTTTTGTTTTATTTCATTTGGTTTTAAATTACTAAACACATACTGAAGAATCTATTGGTTTTCATTTCCGAGGAGAGTCAGATTGCATTACTTATAAGCCAATTAAAGCTACTTCCTCCTGTCATAATTGTTTTGCAAAAATAAAATACATAATTTGCGTTACCAGCAATGTCTATATTATGTTACACATATTCTGTTTTGATTGATTGATAATTAACTTCACTCATATACTTGTATTTATTTCAGTTCAATATCGTCATGCTTGAATGCTCTTTCTATCACTCTGTTGGAAGACTTGCTGAAACCTTTCATGAAATACTGTGGAATAGTGATGAAGCCTTCTGCTGAAGCGAAAACGGCAAATATCCTAGGTATAAATGGAACGTTAAAATTTAGGGTAATCCGTCGGCCATATATATATTTAATATACCTCGGCTTCATTTCCTCTATATAAAAGAAATTGGTTAAATCGAATATATACCCACTTTTGCCTGACTGTGTTTTAGTCCTGTGTGTTAGTCTGGGTACTAAAACACAACTTCTGAACTAACACACACCTACACTCGGGTGTTTCCGCCGAGCCAATCAGGCGAGAGGTGGGCGGAGCTTGTTACCGAACTCGGAAGCGACGCGCGAGATGGGCAGAGCTTGCTACCGAACTCAGAAGCATTTGGCTCCATTGCCATCAAAAGGGTAGTTGGGACGTGAAGCTATACAGCATATGGTTTACAAATATTTTCTAGTTAAAACTATCTCTCCAGTGTGTATCGGTATAATGAAACGGTTAAAGTATGGGGTTGAGGGATATAGCAAGTTTCTGGTGTCCTCGGCTGCCGAGGGAAATAGGCATGGTCTCGGGACACCAGAAACTTGCTATATCCATCAACCCGAAACTTTAACTGTATAAGATGAATATCGAAGGGTTTCAATAATATGGATATGAAATACTTGACATTCTTCCTTGCTTGTTTTCCTGTTATACATTTTCTTTTGTTTATACTGATATGCCCTTATTGTTTTATATATATTGTAAATAAAAACGTATAGTTGGCGCCTATAAAGGAAAATACATAATATAAAAATATACGTAGGTGTAATTGGTGATTGTAAATGTTATTTATATATGATGTCATTTTATACAGGTGCAGTGGGTGGATTGGTAGTCATTGGATTTGCCTTTCTGTCTTCCTTGCTAGGTTCAACTGTTCTACAGGTACGTTTCAGTTCAAAGACGAAACAATGCTCACATGGTCGACACACATACATTGCAAAATTGAAACATTTCATTTTGTTCTACTTGTGTATATTTTGATACTGTTTCCACAAAGTCATCGCTCATCTGCAAAACAATAGTTATCTTATAATGTAGCTAATTTTGGATAAGACGAACCGTTTCTAATTGCATTCATATTGAACATTTGTAATGAAAGATTTAAAAATGCCTGTTTCCCTTTGATCTGTACCAGATAATGATATCCGTGTTAGGAATGGCTGGAGGACCACTGCTTGGCTTGTTCCTGATGGGGATGTTCTTTCCCTGTGTAAACGCCAAGGTAAGTTGAAATGCAAAGTGACAATATTTCAAAAAATGATTATGGCAAAATTTCTGCGTTTATGAAGAAGACTAAAGTTGATTAAGGACAATTCAGAACATTGAAAACGTCTGGTTAACCATTTTTGTATTTCTTTTTTTCAAACAAATCAGCCTGTAAGATAAGTATTCTACCAAATGTATGAAGAAACACATGAACCTTTTTTTTAAATTGTTTTTATTTATATTTGTAGGGGGCCATTACTGGCATGATTGTTTGCACTGTTGTGATATTCTGGATCGTGGTTGGTTCTTTCGTATATCAAGTTCCCATGCCAACACTTCCGTTTGAAACAGACGGATGTGATATAGCTGATGGCGTTACGTATGCCATGAACAAGTTTGTGATGAATACACCAGACATAAGCATACCTCGAGAACAGATTGGCCACAGCCAAGCTGCTCACGGAACCGAAACAGATTGGTAAATTTTCAAGATACTTTTTTGTACTTCAGGTCATAGATATAAAACGCTATTATCGACGTAACATATAATGGACAAAGACATAATAATAATATCAATTTTGAGAAAGAAGTTATGTCCCAAAGTTGCTATAAATGATGTAATGATACAAAAGGCAGCTAATACAAGACAGCTAAAAATGGTTACTTGTGTGTTTTAAAGGTTATAGTTTCATGTACTTTTGAATAGATATTACAATATCTCTTCAATGATAATTTATAATCAGTTAATAAGGGATACTGCTATTTGGATATTGAACATTTTTCGTCAAAAGGCAGTCAGCAAGAGAGTTGCGGAAATAGATTGTCACAATAGAATAAGATATGAAAGGTAAAGCATATTCACGTTAAAAGATATACAGGCACATTGATAGTACAAGGTAATGCTGGATTGTTCTCCTCGGTACAACAGTGGTACAGCATTGTCATCCCGACGTAGTTCGTCCATTAGGTTCAATGATGCACACAACCTTACAATGCCATAATCTGCATTCCAAAAAAGTTCCACTCTTTATGAATTGTTTGAATTTCCTTTTATGAAATATCATCATGTACGTTGTAGTACTTTTCTAAATATCTATTCAGAAGAGGCGTACTACTTTCAAGATCTTTATACAGCACATGAATGGTATATCTGTAGTTCCTATCGTGAATCTAAGACTACCGAGTCAGGTCTAGCATATCATGCTATACACCATGAACTTCAAAACGAAACCTGCAGTACCAAGAAAATACCTAGTTTTCCACAAAACCGTTATTCGAACTCCAAATCAACAAAACTAAGATAAACTATTGTTTCAATGAAAAACTATGATAAACTATTGTAACAATGAACACTATGATAAACTATTGTTACAATGAAAAACAATAGATGGAAACATTTAAAAGAAGATGCAAGGAGTGTAGGAACGTGTGTTCCGGAAGGGTAAACGTATTTTGCTTCATCAACGACAACCGCTATATAAATCTAGTACATTAATGCATGCACTGTCTGTCCTCAAAGCCTAACATAATGCTATGATGACATCCTATCTGTAATTCATGTAATGTACCAGGCCAAATATGATTTGCGATTCGTTAATTGTGGATCTGTTTGATAACATGATTATGTATTCATTATCAGGTTTAATGATGATTTATTGTACGAATCTGTTGTGATATTGATTGACTTTATTAACAGGTCAGGCCCTATGGTAGTGTACAGGTTGTCCTTCCTCTGGTACCCAATAGTAGCGATATGGATTGCTCTGGTCGTAGGAATCCTCGTCAGCTGGCTTACTGGTAAAGTTTAACTTACCCTTGACATTGGCTGATAAACAAACTAACAAATAACTTATGTTATATCATCAATTTAATATGTGAAGCCAATATTTTATTTACTTGTTTGATTGCAAACACAAACTGTTTACAAGACGACAATAAATTGTCATTTTAGAGAAAACGCCTTATATGTGCTTGGTTAAAAAATAAAAAAGTGTCTGCTATTACAGAGACTTATACTTTTCGGACAATATTTAAACAAGTTCATGAATAGGTAGACTACTAAAAATGTATAGTTGTTTGATGAGGTGTGTCAATAATATAATTTTGTTTCATCATCCAGACAAGGTAAAACACTAAAATAATAAAACATTACATCTTAGCGTATCGACTCTGACTCTGATTGCGTGCTTGTATGTTGACACAGTGTTGTACTTGTTTATTATATTATTTTTTACTATTTAACTTAATTAAATATGTCTTTTTGTATTATATTCTAGGATGGCAAAGCGAAAAGATTGATCCTAAGCTTGTGTATCCCGTGTCTGAAAAACTGTGTTGCTTTCTTCCTTATTCTGTACGAAGGAAATTGAATTGTTTTCGATTATGGAAATATGTGAGTACAAGTCATATATGATCATACGTGCACGTCGAAAGTTTTGTGAATTCTATAACTTTTACTGGTTTCCAACACTTCAAAACTGATTTAGTTGCCATTTTTTATTTTGGTTCTTGCGGGTCAGGCACACATTATAATTTGAACTTAAATGTCAGATGGCGTCTCTAATGAAATCATGAAAAAAATCATACTAAATATCTACGGATGGTTTGATTTTTTTATGAGCTTCCTTTTCAGAATCTTATTGTTTAAATGTCGGTTAGTTTTTCTGTTTTGACTCAATACTTTAACAGCATTAAAGCTTTGATTTTTTAATAAGTAAACCTTGTTGTGACAGAATGTTCGTGGCATGAGTGATGTATTGTCGGATGACGAGGAGGAAGAAGAGTTCAGCAAATTAAAAACAGGAAAACTTGAGACGGCCAGACTTCTTCCTCCGATGTCGCGGCGTATGGATAGCTTCGAAGCTGAAGTAGACGAATCAGGCATTTCCCAAATTACGTAGACACGCCAATTTACCTCTTTCCGTTTTTAAAATATAAATAAATTTCAACATACCTACAATGTATTTGTCGTTTTTAATTGATTTGCTACCTTTTATTACCAACTTTGTGTTTATCATTGGAAAAGTCCTTTTTGATGGAAAATATTAGAAGGAATTATCATGTATAGTACAAACGTAACCGCTGGACATGTTTTTGATTATGCGTGTGATAAGTGTGATTACACAATGAAATTCAGAATGAAAGTCAGGTAACCATTATGTATACATCTTTGGGAACCTCTAATTCTAAGTGCGTTTTCAGGTAAAATGTATTAAGTATCATTAATACGATATGCAGAATATTGGAAATGTTCCATTTACGCCGGTCGGCATTGATCATGTCTGTATGATTTAACAAAGGAAATCTAATTTACTTGTTAATCGAGAATTTCATAGAAAAATAGCGTATTTAAAATGGACATGTAATACCAAAACTTACATATACATGTATATATAATAACAACATCGTTTAGTCCGCATCAAAACTTTACCCCAACAGCGCCAAACTATCTTGATACATATACATTGAAGTGTAAGGGTTGGCTTAATAATTGATAATAATGTGGCTTTTTTAATTTACTTCGGGGTAGTGGGAAAAACAGTCTCGTATTTCAGGTTGGCATGGCTTACCAAACCGAATAGTGATGTATGTTTCTGGAAACAACAAGCGATATTTAATTCCATTATGCAGAATGTTGACAGTAATTTATATACTATTTTTGTTCCGCGTAATATAATTCACTTTCACATAATTATAACTTAACTGTAAAGGTGGGGTCAACATTTGGCCACCACTTCGATTTCTTAATTTTTTTTGGCCATATATGTAGATTCATTATTTCTACTTATAACCAGGTTTAGCGACGGGGATATTCTAACAAAATGACAGATAAATGTCACATGCGAAAGTAATTTTGAAAATGAATTATGATAGTGGAATAGTGTTTAAGACTACTGTGATATTGATACTTTTGTCATATTTGGTACACATGAAGTAAGCGTAGTGATACTTTTAATTAGAAAAACATGCAAAATTTTCACAAAATTTAAGATAATATAGTGGTAGTCTATATTTTAAACTTCTTTAAAAACTGTTCATGTACATATTCTGTCTACAGAATCATTACAATGTAATATCAAAACCAGTAAAGTACCTTTTTAGCATGCCTAATATGATCAATGCCCAATTTAACATACTCATTGAGATTTGATTATCAATGTTTATTATGGTAATTACCGATACTTTTTCTGTTTTTGTATTATACCAAAACAAATTATCCTATTACGCATGTTTTAAAGTTATGTGCAGTAGTAATAATTCATATGTATTCTGCCAAAGTAATATTTCCTCTGGAGAACTCCTTTCTTTAACGTCAAGATATGCAATTATATAAAAACAATAAAATCATCTTAATAGTAAAACTAATATACCCTTTATTATTATTTCATTTTTCGAGCTTTCCATTCATTAAGCAAAATAGAAGGAATATTTCATTATTCTATAACGTCAACTCTAAACAAATAAAGCAAGGAAAGATATCCTTGTCTGACTCCTAATACACATTTCGTTTAGCTCAATTGATTTTTGTAACCTTGAACGAAAGTCAAGGTCACCTACGTTTACAAAATTTAAATCCATTCACATGAACAACCTTGCCTAATATCAAGACCCAAAGACCTTTAGTTTCGAAGAAACACAAGTTAAAGGAAAAGTGGGATATGACAAATTTACCGGTTGTCAATGATTGGAAATTCCTTATGTTGAAAGATATTATTAATAACCAATTTCAAGCAAGTATAAAACATAGACTCGTTTTAGGACTAGGTAAATTAACGTGGCAAAAATCGGAATTTTCTCATGCGTAATAACATTTCACATACTTTTCTGCTTTAATCTTCAATAAAAAAAAAAACCATTCAAAATATCAGTTGGAATATGTTGCACACAATGATGATGATATCATTTTATAGTAATTGTGTCATTTAAATGCTCTAGGCGGAATTGTACTACCGCAACTTTAACACCCATACTGGTGGATGTAAATAAGGTCCCATTTGTCATAGAAGAATTCTTAAACTTACTGTTCCTGATTTAATTCAGCTTCCTATACCCATACTTTTTGTATTTTTCTTGTTTTGAAATTCCAAGCGGGGGCCGACGTTAATGTTAAATCTCCATAGGCGTTGACGCTACCTTATTAATGGGACGTTTAGATGGAATGTAGAGCTAATCGTGTATCTGTTTTCCCCACTTTCATCTAATTAGAACTATTGAGGGGAAGATAATAATGGTAATTAATAATAGATGTAACAATATTGATTTTGCTTAAAAAAATGCCGTTCTTTCCAACAATAAAGGACCAACTTACAAAGGAATTAATAGAAATATAAGTAAACTTCTTACACAGTTAAACAGTTCTAAATTACATATCTTCTTTATCTTGTACATTAAATCGAGTATTTCATAATAATGGAGGCACGGTAGTCTAGTGCTAGGACGTCGGGCTCGTTACCGAAGGGTTGCGTGTTCGAGTCACGTGTACCCCAGGTCTGGTATGATAGTCCAAATAACGCTCCATAAGGTCACATGTAACCGATAAGGATCCCTGCACCGCTGCCAAAAACTATAACTGTGGGTCGGAACGTTTTTCCAGTATGACTACAACGTTAATAAATCGATATAAAAGTTAATGAAGATGTTGTGGGACCAAGCCAGGATTCGAATCATTGATCTGCGATCATTATACTCTAGACACATGAGCTACCTGGTAAACGGCAGTACTGTAGTCCTGTCGCGTACATAAATCAAAAACGCAATTAAGGTGAAGTCATTGTATGACGTAGAGCTAGAATGGGATTATGTTGTGGGACATGAATCCTTAAAAGTCTTTTAAATTTTAGCGAGGAAATATTATTGTAAAGAGTCAATAATTTAACAAAACATCTGTGCTGAAAGATATAAGACGCCGAAAAAACTAAAACTAAAATAGATTCATGTCGTGTAAGGTGGGACTCGGTGATCCTCGTACCCATACTATAAGCTACTATGTCTGATATATAGTGATATACTATAAGCTAGTTTATCTTATTTAACCCGGTTTATCGTGGTAGCAACATAACGGTCACCTCAACACACATTGACCACTGACGACACAACCTACTGGTCAAGGTAGGAATTATCAGGCCCCGATAACGCCATGTTCGTGTGGACGTCTGCACACTGTTTATCATGACATGTCAAGCTTTAAATTTAACTTTGCTAAAATATTTAATAAACCCAAAACTTGCATAATTTTCTTATGATTAGTTAAACAAACAAAATCTTATAGTTTCTTGATAAGCAAGAAGATATATATTAAGACTTACGATACAGACATAATTCTGCTTTGATTCGCCTATACATGGTTAAGATAACCATGCTTCAACCTTTAAGAATTTGTCATTTATCAGGTGAATTAAAGATAACGTTACCAATGAAAAACCACGAGATATCTCGAGTAGTCCGAAAACCAGCTGGTAATATACAGGTTTGAGTCAAATGTGGTAGTCTAGGTGAATTTGGAATATTATAATTATACTTTGGAGAATGTGAATTATAGATTATATATTGGAATTGAAGTGCCGTGAAATATATCCATTGGTGTAATTCAACCTCGATTCAAATTGATCTATTTTGTGACGTTCACGCCCAGGAGTGACCATTGTCCACTTACTGTTGTCATATGACATAACACAACCGGACACTAAACATGGATGTTATTACTGAGGCAAGTTTAAAAACCTGCAAGAAGGTATGTGAACTCTGTGATGGAGAGCAGATTGGATCATTTGTTGCGGTAGACTATGTGCTATTTGCAGCAGTCCTAGTCGTTTCGGCTCTTATAGGAGTTTTCTACATGGTCAAGGAATACCGTGCGACGAAACAAGCCACAGCCGAAGACGTTCTGATGGGTGGAAGGGACATAGGTATATTTCCCATAGCCATGTCGCTGATGGCTAGTTTCATGTCAGCTATCACAGTGCTGGGGACACCGACGGAGATGTACAATAACAATACCAGTTATTGGATTGCAGGAAACGTCATCATCATTACAACAATACTAACAAATCATGTGTTTCTTCCTTTTTTCCATAACTTGAACTTAACCAGCGCATACGAGGTAAGCATCAAATATTTGTACTATTAGATTGACCATGCAAACGACTTTCCTCTTATTTAATAGGAATTATCCCAAACGACCTTGACCCTTGTTATCAATACATACATAAAACCTTGCTTTGTTTGTTACTTAACCCTTATTCCCCACCTAGTATAACATTCAATGAAACATAATTTCATCCATCCATGTCATCATGATACATGAAGCAACATAAATGATGCATAATTATGATGTTGAAATTACCACCACGCCCAATTTGAATGTACTGTTTTTGACGGTCTTTTTTTTTACCAGTAATGAACACAATATGTATGATGTATGATTAAAGTTATACGGATTTCGTTGATTTTTTGTGTGAAATACCACTGTTTCTTAGCATGCGTGCACTTCACGTCCGTTCATTGATTTATATCCACAAGGAAATGTGGTGTACAGATTAAAATTAATGTTAAGTTAGGAAACATGATGCAAAAGGTTAAATTGATTTCAGATTTATAGGTTTGGCACATAGACTACAATTCCTTTAAGTTAAAAATAAATAAAGCTAGACAGAGGTGTATAGACAACAGGGACACTTTAAGATACCTGTATATCTTTTGTAGCTGAAATGTATACGTCTCTACAACATACTACTGTGTTGTGTTATAGTTTAAATGTATACGTCTCTACAACATATTGCTGTGTTGTGTTATAATTTAAATGTATACGTCTCTACGACATATTACTGTGTTGTGTTATAATTTAAATGTATACGTCTCTACAACATATTACTGTGTTGTGTTATAATTTAAATTTTACTCGATTAGAGAAGTATGTTTGTAATAATTATAAACCAATTAGGTTTGTGACTTTGTTCATCAAGAAATATGATCGGAGAATAACAACTGACCAATAAGAACTTCATCTCTAAGTATAAGATTTCTAAATTCAAAAGAAAACGAAAAGTTTCATTGAATTTCCATTGAATGCGTACAATTGTCTCCATTTTGTCTCCCTCCACATTGCGGACATTAACGTTTGGATTATTACTAAAACTGATGTGTCATATTCAAGTTTCGACACATTAATTAAGATTATCTCTGGAGTTGCTATCTTATCTATAATAAATACAGTACTTCGGGTCCCTTTGATCCATTTAGCAACGATAGAAATATTTTTTAAATACATTTTACAGCCCATCAAATTGCTATGGAAAGAATAACGCAAAACATCGCACATTGATTTATTTTAACGTAATTCGTTGGTCTCAGCTGACAATGTTCGATATTATATTTTTCATCCTTGACCAATTGTTACATATAAAGTATCAATTCTTTATCGCTCTTGATGAATGTAAGATTTTGTATCTATTTGGTATTAATTTATTCATACATAAAGTCACCCATTAACATTAAATATCAAAACATTTATAAAACGTCCTTTTGTATTGATTAAGATGTGAGTCTTGAAATCGTCCTTTTGTGTTGACGGTGTGGCACATTGATTGTGTATATAACTTCAGACAGGAAACTATTTGGATTCACATTTCTCCTATCGGATTTACTTTATTTTGCTTCCATTTTACTGTTTAAGATCACACAAAACTTTAAGTTTTGTGCAATTGCTATCTGGGTAACCGAGTAGAGTGCTCTTTATAACGCCATCTGTTAACTCGTATCGATCTGCTACAGGATGTTTTTGATTAATAGTCAATCCATCAAATGCAAATAGCACTATCACTGTTATTATCAGAGTGTGTTTCGGTGACCAAATACCTTCTTATCTACATTACCCTTTTCTTTAATGGAATGAATTCAAATCGTTATTTTCAGTAATATTGGTTAGGTTCGTCTAAGGTTTACTTCTTCACGACAGGTTATTTTCTATTCAAATTATATCAAATTCAAAATTAAACTGCATGTTTTTGAACAGAAATTTAAAACGATTATCTAAATACCTTGCACACGAAATAAAGTGAAAATCTAAAAATAAAGCGAGTTTTAAAAGTTTGATTAATGGTTAGTTCAGGTAAATGACTATGTGTTGACAACCTAGTCTCAGCATGTTTTTGATATCATTAACGAATCTATTATGTTGTGAAACATTTTTAGCTTTATTGAAAAACTGGCAACCTTTTTTGTTTGTAAACCAAGTGATTTGTTTTCTGATACGTAAAACCCGTAAACATCTTCAATATTCTCAGGAATCAAACTTATTATTTAATTGTTATTTCTGTTTAAAGAGACTGTGTCAAAGACAGTGAATGATTCAATGTCTTCATGGACTTATATGTCAGTAACTTCAACTATTGATTATCTTATAACCAATGATATCTTCACGAGTGCAAACTCATTTATTACCAGAGGACAACACAGTAGACCTCTCAACATACTTTGCATGTGCATCAGTTATAAACGATAATGATAGCAACATCAAATGTTCAAGATTTATACCGTAATGTGTTCTACTCTGCCAATGCATATGAACAGCATTGTACATGGAACATTTCTGCATATATAATTGTGTTATTACGAAAGTATTTAAGCATGTGAGTATGTGTGCTAGGCGTGTAGATATCTATCCGATGTTCTTACATAAAACAAGATACACTTTTTTTGTATATGTAAAAACATGTATACAACACTTAAAACCCATTTCTTTTAAGTAAATATATACAAAAATGATAATGTAAAGGTCAGTTTAATGTTTACGGCTCGAGTATGGCGGAAAGCTGAAATTGTTTAACGAATACTAAACTAAGCAGTCGAAACTATTGGTATTGGTATTCTGCCATGCAAGAGATTTTGTTTTTACTTGCAAACAATAAATTAATCGATAAGTAATGATAAAACGTTAATGCTTGGACCAAAGCTTTACTAAACGATCACTTATGCTACGGTTGCTCCATATGCGTCTGAACCGGAAGTCTGCGGCTTTGAATGCATTGAAAAGAAAATACCATTCTAATTGGACAACATAGATTTGATATCCGAGTAATAAAATTCAATTCGATATCTTTCAATCAGTGAAGGATATAAGTTTAATCATAATGTATTTTGTGTATGTGTAAAACTCTTATGAGTGGAAAAGTGTAAATCTAGTTCCGTTTTCATACATACATGTACATAGAGATAAACCGACTTGTAAGTGTCAAACACTAGTGAGGAATACTATACCTATAAACCTATAAGACTGCGTCGAACGTCGATAAGAAGCTTTGTTTGATTATTCATCGAACTGATAACCATTGTTCATGTTATCGGTATATACCGTATACACCTGTTGGGCATGGGTCCACCCACACCGATAGGAGATATTGGTCGCCCGCCAATTTCTCTATTTATAGATGAAACACAAATACGAAACCATGCATTTTGCTAGTTTCTTGATAAATGAATACAGTCGTCGGTAAAAAAAAAAAAAAATGAAAATAAAACCAATATTTTTGTTGAAATAGGGAACTTGTGTATATAGTGTAAATAAGACAGGTACCATTTGTAGGCGCAAATCATACGGATATTAACTTTCACTGATTGATCATAATTTCTTATCGAAACCATGGTAGTGATGTCAAACCAAGTGTTATTGGAATTCAATTTATGTATGCCATAAGTCCAATCACTTTATTTCTGGAATATAATATTACATGTATCAACTAAAATATTCGATCATACGCAGATATTTAGCTCTGCCCAGTTTGGTGACCGCAATGCGTCTCTGCCAAATACTAGATGTTTGTTTTAATAAGAAATTCTATATAATTTCATAAATACTAGTAAATTATATATTTCAATTCTCCAAAAATGCTATCAACAAATTTCAAAGTTCGTTGTTCAGAATTTGGATACGTTTTTCAATGTTGTACCAAACACACCAGTATAGTTGTTCTTTAAATATTTCATTGTATTGGAGGAGTGATTTAACCTTATAATATATCTTATCAGTACAGTAGTTGTTTCATGTTCTTCAGTACTTGGAGAAGAGACTGAACGTTATAGCTTTCTCATCAGTATGTTTAATATTTTTCAGTACTTAGAGAAGAGATTTAATGTAGTTGTACGAGTGTGTGCCTCCGCCATATTTATGTTAAACATGGTAAGTAAAAACAGAAGAAAATATCATACGCCAAGGCTATTCTTAAGGGAGGTACATCTTAAATATTCTCCTTAGTATTATCCAGCCATCTACAAATGGGATAATGAAACATACCGCTAACGTAACGACGGGGGAATTCCTCGGTCATAACAATTGTATGACGTTATGAAATCAACGTTTGAAATAAATGTAATTACCAGAAGTGATGTGGAAGAAAAAATGTTGGGCTTGATATTTAAGAATTTGACCCCTTGTATTGAGATGTTTCTGTCCTATCCCCAAGGTGGAGAAAGATCATATATAGTTTATCCTAGAAATATTAATCTTCACAATTCAATATATGAGGCCTTATTGAAGGATATTTTACAAATACTTTAATATCGATAATACACTAGAACGCGTAAATGAATATATTTGAGGCAATAAGACCAATGCAATTTGATTTTTTAACATTTAAAAGTATGCTGATTAGTCATATTTCATTAATTTGGTTGCTTAAAAATATTTTCTTTTTTTTCATTTGCCCGTTCTAAAGAACCATGTGCCTAGTTGTATAATATTTAATAGTAAAAGAAGTTGTTAGTGTTCATTAAATATGTATACCTATATCTTTATAATCTTTCACAATGCACACAAGTGTTAAAGATAACTTGCAATGATGAAGATATGTTTCCTGTTTTGTAGCTATTGTATATGGGTGTTGTTTTGTACGCTCCTGCTTTGGCTTTGAATCAGGGTAAGTTTATTACCAGGTATTATATTTGTTATCGCAGACATTCTACAATGCCTTGATATGAAAAGTCAAATGTGGAAAAGTGAAAGCAAAATCAGTGGGATGAGGTAATAGTTATCGTTAACCAACTTAACTATAGGTATAGATTACCATTGTTAATCATTCGCCCCGCGTAAAGTTGTTTCCCATAAACATAGTAAAACAATATATATTAACTTGCTTGGTATTTGGTTAATGCATGCATACAACTTCTGTATGTGGACACACTATGGGAGTACACCTTTCTATACTGCGTATATATGCTCACTGTGTCTTTGATCATTGATCTTCGGCATGACAGGAACATGCGTTCTCCTTGGATATTTAACATGGATGTTCATGATGTACGTCGTTCTGTTTGGCTACCTAATTAGACTCTGTTGTTTGAACGTTTCTTTGTAGTTACCGGCCTGAGTCTGTCGCTATCCATTGTTTGCATAGGTTTAGTGTGCACATTTTACACAGCACTGGTAAGTTCTATTTATTACAATACCTTTTCTGTATATATTATAATTTTTATATCAACCAAATAAAATCTTCCATATGCACTTTGAAACTTGCAATACATAGAATGTCTTCAATGGTATCTTATAACAGATCGATGCTTAATACTGCGATAACAAACATAAAAACGGTAACTGGTTTTAATAAAGGCTAATTTTGTCCTCTAACAAACGTCATTTCCTACTGACAGGGTGGATTACGAGCTGTCGTATGGACGGATACGTTCCAGACATTTGTGGTGATGGCAGGACTTATCGCCATTATCGTAGTAGGGTCACGTGAGGTCGGTGGGTTAGACAAAGTTTGGAAAATAGCTGATCACGGAGGCAGAATACATTTCTTTGAGTATGTCATCTCATCGGTCAGAATAGCCACAAAACCTAATGTTGTACATATACCCATTATCATAACACATGCCATTCGATGATATATACTGATTTGAGCTGGAATAATATAATATTAGGTGTTTATAATAAAAGATAATTTATAGATTACACATTACTCCATTAAGACAGGCCCAACTGGATGATTATACATTAAGATTGTATTTGCAAAGTTTTATTGACGATCATGAAATCTGCACTAGTATACACTGCGATAATTGCCATAGCATCTCGTAAAAGGAGTGAGTCCTCTTTCAGCTGTTGATTTATTTGAAACCCTAAAACACGCCAGGCAATAATCATGATATCAATAAATAGTTTTCCCTTCAAATCCTAGAAGAAAAAACCCGCCTAAAATGATTGAGACTTATTAACGTTAAACCTCGATATTTTCAGCTGGAGTGCAGACCCTACTGTTCGTCATTCATTTTGGGCACTTGTTATTGGTTCAGTAGTTGGTCAGCTGACAATCTACGCAGCCAACCAGACAATGATCCAGAGATACCTGGCGATTAAAGAAATAACCAACTCCAAAAAGTGAGATACGACGCATTTGTATGTGGTTGACATATTAGTCGACGTGTGTATGGCTAGCACTCCATTCTATTTCACATACGAAATTATCCCAAAGGCAATACTAAGTAATAAATATATATAATATAGTTTAGCTTGGTCATCTCATAAAATCATACGGTTCAAGAATATGTTACGAGGATTGACAATTTTAAATGGTTAATTTATAAACCATTCTTTCTTTAATTTGATATTATTATTATACATATATAATGAGTTTGTAAGGTATATTCGACTAGTGTAAAATTCTGATAACGAAGCGATATAACTGCATATTCAAAGTTGACAGGTTTATAACATTAAAGATAACATATGTATGTTGGATATTTTAAATTACATTATGATCAACCATTGTGCGTTTATTGTTGATATTTGTAATGTTGGTATCCAATGAGAGTTGATGTAGTAATGATTTACTCCAAGGGCTCTGTATGTTAGTCTCCCACTGACGCTCATCCTGTCCACGGTGGTATGTCTGGTGGGTTTAGTCATTTATGCCACCTATCATGACTGTGACCCTAAACTCCTTAACCTCGTCAAGGCCAGAGACCAGGTAAGCAGGGTTAACATTTTCATTTTGACATTTGTAGATACTTTTAATAATGGTTAACCTTTATTCTCTCATTACTCACGTGTTTGTATGTTATGTCAAACACAACAGACGTTATTATCATCCATTTTATTTACTGTTGTATATTTTCAATGAACATGTATGAAATGAACATTTAGGTTTTCATTATATTGTAATGGGATAAGAATTCAAAACAAGCTTCAATGGAGCTCCACCAGTGTGTAGTCCATTGTACTTAGCTGGATAACAACTCAAATGATCAACACGAAAATGGCAATGGAAATGGAAGTGTCAATCATGTAATTTGATTCAGACCTGCATGTCAAGTAAAGTTACCTTTTGGAGAACATGACTTTTCTTTCAGTGGAAATGTTGATGATGATTTTATTTCTGTTGTTGTGTCTCTTTAATTCTCACTGTTATTTATTCGTATCAACTGTGCATTAATAATTTCTCCTGGAATACTGACACTCATCTTTTGCAGCTATTACCGTTCTTAGTTATGGATAAGCTTACGTTCCTACCCGGTTTACCAGGGTTGTTTGTCGCCAGCCTTTTCAGTGCCTCTCTCAGGTATATAGTATTAGTACTCATATTATTACATAATATACAGCGCACATGTGAAGTTTACTTTGACCCAGCCACTTTGACTAATCCGGTTGTTCCTCAATCCAGCCATTGCTTTTAGGGACTTATTTACCTTTTTTCTAGGCATAATTAAGTTAGTTACTCAGCGGTCCCTACATCCAAGTACTTGTCCTGAGAATAAAGGTGGCTGGGTTGTCGATGCTCCACTGAAATGCATTAAATTATAAAATGATATAAAACGCATATTTTGAAATAGGTCATATTCTCTATAGTTAAGTTTGCTGTCTTTGAATGAGAAACACAAGAATATTTCCCTAAGATTACTCAGGTTATACGAGAATAGCACATGATCTTTTCAATCCAATTAGAGAATATCATACTTCTATATTGTTTACTATTATTTCCGTCCTAAATATAAATACGCTTATGATTTTATCATTCAAATCGCATCGTGTAGTAAACCTCGACTTAGTGTTAATAGTGTTGGCTTATGATTCTAAAATAAATATCTGCTTTCAGTTTGTCGACTTTAAATCATCATTATTGACATTTGTTAAACAATAGCTTGAATGAAGAATTCACCAGTATTACCAAATAGTATTTTTATGCAGTTCTATTTCTTCTGGATTGAATGCCCTTGCCATTGTAATATTGGAAGATGTATTCAAGATATATTGGAGGTATCACGGGAAAGAACCCTCGCCCATCATACAGGGACGTCTTGCCAAAGTATTGGGTAAGCAGTCTTATAAACGAATCCGTTGGGTTTAATTGTGCACGCAATATGTTGCAATGTTACACAATAATTCGCTACTTCAGTAACATCATTTGAAAGTGTGGAAATCTGTTAGATTAAGACACAGAACAAACAAAAACATAAAGTGCTACTGTAGATTAAAGAACCAATCAATTTCACATCATTTCAGGTTTCGTTTGTGGAGGCATGGTGATTGGAATCGCATTTCTGTCCCAGTTTCTCGGACAAACTGTCCTTCAGGTAAGAACTATTGTTCTACAGGTCGATACTTATTTTTTCGCAAGTTTCCTTATATTCTGGTTTTATTCGTAATTCGGTCTGTGGTTTACCTGACATCCTGATTGCTTGCCGTTCTTTGACAGATCATGTTGAGCATCTTCGGTATGGTAGGAGGCCCCCTGTTAGGACTGTTCCTCAACGGCATTTTCATCCCATGGGTAAATACTGCGGTAAGTAACGAGAAAGTATCAAATGAAAATAGGAACATCTTGATCTTTTTTAATAGTATTATGGACAATATATATTTAGTAACGTAACAACCTTAACACTTATTTGGTGTTTTAGCCATTTTACCAACGATGAAGCGGTAATGTTCCTTCGTGTTTATTTTGTGTACATGCATTATCATTTTCATAAAACAGGGCGCACTTTGTGGACTAATATGCAGTGCTTTTCTGACGTTTTGGGTGGCTATCGGAGGTTCCATAATATTACCAGTACCCCCAATAAAGAATGTTTCGACATCTATATGTCAACACTTCCAGAGAAACTGTACGACGCCAGCGAACAATCAAAATATGTCAGCAATATACAGTACCGTACCATCTATTTCAACAACGTATTACAACACGTCATCAATAACCCAGACAGCAACGACCCCAAACGGTCAAGATTTGTAAGTATTCACTTATTCCGATCTACATTTGATGGCAAAGATGCCATCAATTATTACACTATTGGCACATACGATGCAATACGTTCCTATTATATGCGTTATTCTTCTTTATCAAGCTATAATTTGAATTGCAAAATAACCTTTATGAAACTATCAAATATTTATATATATATATTAAATGTTATAAAGACAATCTTTTTACATTAAATTAGTCAACATACACCATGTGAATGTTTATCTTTTGTCGTATCTCATCAGCTACTGGACTATAATTATTTACAGTGATGAATCCCGTACATACCGGTCTTCAAACGAATGCCTTTTGTGAATGTGTCGAAACTATTCAGTGATATGCGCCTGTATTTACTGCCATCTTGTCCTGTTTTCACTAGATGGATCTACCATATATCATACTTATGGTATGCCCTATTTGCTGTGCTGATATCCATAGTGGTCGGAATCATCGTTACGTTCGTGTCAACATTTTGTTTTGGTAAGGAGATTCATATTATTTTGCTTATTATTTCTATCAATATATATTGTTATGCAAATTTTCATTTGTAATTATACATAGTTTTCTGATAATGACGAAATAAATGAGACAACAACCGGTAGAAATATTTAAGCTATATTTCAAATTTCAAGGAACTCTTGTTTGTTGAATGTATAATATATTCATATATACCACTAAAGAAAACTGAACGTACTTCTATGAAATAAGATATATTCGTGGGGTCAAAATTACATGGTTTCCCGACAAAACACCATTTCGTAAGTACATGAATTCGTGGATTACAATTACCCACTCACACGGAGAATTGCCTTATATCAAACTTGTAATTACTTTGTGGACCTATGACTTCGTGGATAAAGAATACCCTGGAAATCAACAGTATTACAAAAACAATGAAAATTAATTATTTCACATTGTGTTAAAATATAAATACAATAACGAAGTAAGGAAACAATTGCTTAAACATTTATAAAGTCAATATCGAAAGCCAAACAGAGTAAACACTTTTTGCACTATTCTGTCATTGCGTATTGCAGAGTTATCTTCTCTTGTGCGCAGGTATTGATTGTTACGTCATTTGTTTATGAGAGTAACGTCATCAATTTTTGAGAAAACGACGTAATTTTCGCACACAAACCAATGACGTAACAATCAATACCTGCTCACAAGAGAAGATAACTCTTCATTACGCAAAGACGGAATATGGTCATTTTGTCCACTTAGAAATCACGAGTCAAAAGAATGAACGTTCTCTCATAGCGTTTCGAATATATGTAGAAATAAAACATACGGGAAAGGTGCCAATATAGCATTAATCAAGCATAAACGTGAAAATCTGAAATTGAAATATGATAAATATTGTAGACCTGAACCGTCCAGAAGATATTGAGAAAGAATTGGTACATCCAATTGCTGACAGAGTATGCTGTTATCCTTCTATATCATGTCAAAAGGTTCACCGTCTTTCTAAAAAGGTGAGTCTTTGCTTTTTTAAATAACGTGTGACTCACTTTCTGCTATAGAAATAAACAGTGCTTCCGACAATGACATACATGGTACAGTAGTGTATAGTAATTTTAGGTATTGGCTTTCATCTAACAGGAATCTGTAGTGTGTTTTTCTTATTGTAGCAGAAAGCTCCACCATCTTATTACTGTTTTTGTAAAATTAAACCTATTTCGGAGAAAGACCATACATTCATTTAGCACTAGTGATTGCAACCCTTATCATTAGCTGCATGCTTGCATTCAGTATTCGACCATTTTTTTGAAGGAACATGTCATTTTCCACTACTTTACAGTGAGATGACAGCCTCTAAAATCGTTTTAATATCATAGTTATGTGACTGGTGTGTTGCTGTATTTCAGCCTGCAGAATATTATGAAACGTCATTGAAAAAATATAATGGACATGAGAACTTGGACGTAGGGCATGACGGACCGTATACTGTAACAAACGGGGACCTCGAGCTCAAGTCAAAACTACGAGAGAGGACGCAAAGACGGAATGGCAATACATCCCGCACGTGGAATGATCCCAATCCCAGCTATTATGAGAACAACTTGATGCCTGATGACGATGACGCCTTAACAAAACTTTAAATGACGTCGATCTAATTTACGTTGGCCCTAGTCATTTCATGTGAATTTACAAACTATTCATCGATTGGGGAAAGCCTTTGTGATATTCAGACCTACTATCAATAAACAGTACAATGTAAATATGACAGTGTACTGATACCTTGTTGGGAAACCATAATATATTTATCATTTCAAGCAAACAGTGCATCAACTTCATTATTATTAAAAAAAATATGTAGTATTTAATACGAACTGTATATCCGATATTAAAGATGAAACCACACATTGACGTCTAAAGCAGACGGATTTACTGGTAGAATCATTATTAATTATACAAAGTATTTTTTTCTCCAAAGAGGAAGTTAACTATAATTTCTTTCCGCTATTTTTAAATTTAGAATGCATTGAACATCCACAAGCTATACTGAATTACTGTAAAATGGTATCAAACCACACAATAAACAATAATTGTTATACAAATTGAAGGTAAACGTCAGACATAAATACGTTACTTTGTAAGCAAAAAATGAGTAAAACAATCAAAAATGTTGGCATATAATTCCTATCAAATACGTTTATTTTGTTTAAAGATCTTGTTACATAGTTCCTATTGATCTTACTACTTACGTGTTGATATTTTTTTCTAGTTTTAAATTAAAGTTCATTTTAGTAGACTAACAACAATTTCACATAGTTTGAGTATGCACGTTTGCTGGTAACTGTGCGTGTGTGGATGAAAGTGGGTACGAGTGCTTATTCGCATATTATAATTTTCCCTCTGTTTTAAAGGGAACTGCATGCTAACCTGGTGTGTCAGCATTTATGTCCCTTCCTTGTATTTATATCATATTTACACTATTTGAAAAAAAATCCATTGAGGTCAATCCAAATAAACATATGGAAAACCTTTACCAAACATTCCAATTTTATTCTTTTATTAACCGAAACAGTTGTATGGATTTCTTGATAGAAGGCAGCGATATATGAACATATGAAAACGTTAAGTGTCTGAATCTGTTTTGAGTTGTTTCCCTTTTATCATACAATATGTGACTTTTCAGCTGAAAGGGAGAACACTCTCACTGATTACAATCACATTCTTTTTCTAACTGCGTGGGATACTGCGTGCTTTCGGTTAGATAACACTCGTGAGTGTACAATGTTTGACAGTAGTGCCAATCATGGCAGTTCTCATGGCTGAAGGGATTGCGGATTTGAATGATTCTATTAAAACTGTAAAAATCAATAAGCCTTCTCGTGCGGCGTATAGGTTCTTAGTTTTATATCATAATTGTACTTTGATATATTTAGCTAGTACTATCTGAAGGCACATTAATGCCATCTGTAGATATACGTCTAATGTTCACACAAAGACAGTGTGAACAATTCGACAGTAATACGTATGGAAGGAACGTTAACAAGTCTTTAGAAAACTGAAAGTCACAATACACAGATACATGTCATCCCTATTCAGGAAATTGTCTTGCTAATTTGATTATCTATTCGTGGTAAAAACTTCCGTATAACACAATGTGTGGTAAGCTTTAACTGTCAAATGAACATTTTCAACTTTCTTCATCACATATAACAAGCAAAACAATTATGTTTCGTCATCATCTTCTACCCAACCTACAAGCTTAAGGATCCCCGTACCACTGCCAAAAACGTTACGTAGTGTTTGAAACCGTACCGGCATGACTATAGATTTGACAAATTATTTTTGAAAAGAAAACAATATCATGTTATGAGAAATAACAAAGGTGAAATAAACAAAATGTAATCAACAACTGTGTTCTGAGTTTTAAAATGAATCAGCCAGGCTAGACCGGAATTCGAATATACTATCCCTCTAACCGACAGACCATCCTGGTCAACAGAAGTGTCATCAAAACGGAAGTTACGGGGAGGTGACTGCACGAAGAAACAAACTACAATGTAGTAGGACAGAGATCCTTAAATTTTCAAGTGAAAGCAAGAGCTAATGTACGTGTTGTTAATAAGATAGATATCTGTAAACGAAGACAATGTTCGGAGGAATGAGCTCCCTCTTATTACAGGCAATATTCGGAGGAATGAGCTCCCTCTTATTACAGGCAATGCTCGGAGGAATGAACTCCCTCTTATTACAGGCAATGTTCGTAGGAATGAACTCCCTCTTATTACAGGCAATGTTCGTAGGAATGAAATCCCTCTTATTACAGGCAATGTTCGGAAGAATGAACTCCCTCTTATTACAGGCAATGTTCGTAGGAATGAAATCCCTCTTATTACAGGCAATGTTCGGACGAATGAGCTCCCTCTTATTACAGGCAATGTTCGGAGAAATAAACTCCCTCTTATTACAGGCAATGCTCGGAGGAATGAACTCCCTCTTATTACAGGCAATGTTCGGAGGAATGAGCTCCCTCTTACTACAGGCAATGTTCGGAGGAATGAGCTCCCTCTTATTACAGGCAATGTTCAAGTTGTTTGTATGCCATTGCTGGTATGAGAATTACAAAGAGAATGTTTTTCTTCCTGTATTATAAACGTATAGTGCGACAACAATTTCGTTGATTTTACAGGAGCATTATTGCCACAGATTATTGATATGCTATTGAAAACTAAGTGTGACCACTTTTCACTGCTATTTGTGAATTCTTATGAAGCTGTCCTTACAAAACAAAATATTAGAGAACTTTCGTCTCATTTATCCACTAGAAAATGACATTAACGATTCGCCGACTTATAGTCCAGATAAGATCATATGCAATGTCTGTACCAAAATTGAGGACCTTATCTACACGGCTGTTGTGTTTCGTTTCGCGAGTGGTCGCATACTAGCTTCTCTCGTGAGTATGGTTACTATATCACAGTCGATTGTGTACATGGACGTGTTCCTTTATAACATAGCGTCATTGACCAAACAGATTCCACAAATACAGATTTGTTCACTATCTCTTATATGTGCGGAGAATGACATGCTCCAACAGATTAGATTACGTTTACTCATCGCAAAGACAACCGAGATTCGATTTCTGGCTCGGACCGGAAAATCTCTAAATATCACGGATACTATGTAGGTATTCATGTGTCCTTCCATATTAATCTTTCGTCGTGCTCTTTTACAGCAAACGATGGTTACAACAAATAACTGAATTGTCAAACAAAAAAGTGTCAGTGTTCTTTTTTTGTATTAACTGTGTTTAAATAAGAAAAAACATAGAATATCTAGTTTCAGGTTTTATAACAATATGCAAACATTGAGGGCGGCATATGTCGATCACAAACGCCAACAACGAACCTCTTGTACCCGGATGTCATCAAATCATAAGTTACTTAGAAATAATGTTACACAATCTCTTATCCTTTAACATCAAGCGTTACCGGGATGCAGTTGGACCAATTCGGGGTTTTAAGATCAAGACGATATGATATCTTCAGCGGAAACAAGAATGATAATACAAACAGGCGATCTAAGATTACTAAACTTTCGATCATGAAACATGAGCACTAGATTGAATCTTTAATATTCATGTAAAAAAAAGTGATGTTGCGTTGAAAAAAAATGCAAATTGCATAAAATATCACGACCCAGTCGAACAGCTGTTTTAGTTCCGTTTATAGATTAATTAATCTATAAACATCGTCCAACATAACAACAAGCCACAAAGAAGTGAGGGTTAACATAGTGTAATCCCAGAATATATATATAAAACAAAACATAAAACATTCATGAATAAAAAAAATTATTCAATAATATCTTTGATAAAATAGTGTACGTATAATTTGACTAATGAAATAGAAATTTTCTAATGTAAATTTATAATGTAAAAATTAACTATATATGATCCTTTCCCTGTTCGTGCTCTATGCATGTCTTGGACCTCGATACACACGGAGTTTTCATTCTTTAACATTAAATACCACGCATTAGTCATCATTGAACGATCTTGTCACATGGTGCAGTACAAGTTTTGAGTTTTTCTGGCTTTCTTCATCAACAATAAAACATTGAAACAAGCGTTTCTGTTCATCGTATGTTTAGAAAGTATATATTACCCTCTAAGATAGTGGTTTTGAGTCAAAGTATGTCCAGGTTTTCGTTTACCTTACAATATTATGACGCGAGCTTCGACAAGTGTTGTAAACGTAACTAGTAATTGTAACCACATTGACATACATCTTATCCCATTCTTCATTAAAACATGGACAATTACATTTTGTGTGATTGGTGAAACAGTAAAGATAAATCAGAGATACAAACAATGTAGTGTTTTTAACGTCATCAGTGTGTAAATTGTCACCATGAATGTTATTAAATTGCCGCCATAACTTTGGTTTGTTTGTGTTCATTTAAGGATGTGCAAGGTGTAGGTGGTGGAGGCAAGTCGGAGTTCCCGGAGAAAAAACCACCGACCAACGGCCATAAGTTTTATGGTGTAAATGTAATAACATTCGATATGGTGTAATTAGTATCTCACAGACATGCCTCAGTATAGGATATTCCATACATTATGTATTGAATTTGTACGTATGTGAAGTACATTGTTGAAACTAAGGACTGTGATATTACCAACACAATAACAAAATTGATATAATAGCGTGATTGAGATCATTGTTTAAATACGAAAACCCACATATGATTGCAGAACTGCGATGTTCCTTCTAAAACATGATACAACGTGATTATAAATAAGCCAATGATATGATTGGTTAAGAAGAACTGCACTTTCACCTCATAAAACATCCCTAGAGTTGAGATTCGATACGAGTCTTGCATCAGATGTGACGTGTGACATATCCTCTGTCACATTAGGGTGGTATGTAATCACCAACGGTCTGTGTCATAGTGAACAAGTCCTTTAGCTGAAAATCAGGTCATGGTGACAACTGTAGTAATGTTATGTTATGTACTATTATCAGTAATTTATATAATATTTATTTTACATCTGCATTATGAAGAAAGGAAGATTCGCCTTCTGTATAGTTTTCTTCTGTGTCCCTTCCGAAAGGGATATTGAAGTGATCAAAACTGACGTTGTTTCTTGGGATCGTTTCGTCTCTCTTCTTGTGTCTGTATTCCATTTTTCATGACATGGTGTCAACCTTAATTTGTATCTTTGTATATAAATGTGTTTTGACGACATAAAATCAAACTTACATGTATTATTTATACTGTCTGTGTAATCTCTAACAGATGATAGAGATGAAACAACAAGTTAAGCTGAAAACGCTATCATTATTTAGGACTGCAAATTGTAATTGGTCAGAAACTTATTTTAGCTACAAATGGGTCCGACCTATACGCATAGTATGCGCTCTACATACGATGATTTAATTTTATCTTAATTCTTAATCTGAATCGTCAACTTTGACTCATTATACGGCGAATGAATATTTCAGCAACGATTATCTACAATAACATGCATTTATTTTTGACATATCGTCTTTAAATATTCCTGTAATGTTAACTTTATATAACACTTTGTGCATCTTATTTCATGTAAGGACAAGAGAATATCAGTAATACATAACACATGCATAATAATGGTCAATCCGATCAAGTTTAAATTGAAGATAAAATTGTAGACGAATACTTTGTGTATGAAATAATTTCGTCAGGTCTCAAATAAGACATGTATTATTTACTGGCATGTAATAAAATGATGTGTTATTCAACATTTTTCTTTCTTATTAATCCCTAAATTCGTATGCATGCCAGAAGAAATGAATATGTGCTTCTGTCAGTGTTAAAAGAGACATGCTTAATTTTCCAATTGTTGAGAAAAAAATGAATAGGGAACATAAATGAAGTTACTATGGGAACAATTTTAAACGACAATTTAAGGCTAATGTAATCAGCCGCAGAATAGAGACCAATTTTGTGGAGTGAATCTACGTTGATTCCCTCTAATATAAACCGTCTGATTTTCTAATGAACGTTCATTGATAAATTAGACGAGGGAGATATCCCCAGCATGTAGCAGATGCGAGGTAATTGTAATTGTATTAGGCTGATTATGGTCTTCAAACTAATAAACACTTTACAACAAGTTCGGTAAATGAAATAATAAAAACTCTACTTTATAAGTAGGAAACAGTGGAGTGTAGAATTAGAGGCCATTTTCCTGTGTGGAGGTGAAAGGAAAGGAGTATTCAATACAACTCTCTTGGTATGTATATTTGCTTAGGGGCAGCAGAAAAGATTTGGCATTTGACAGAAATCGTATCCCTTAGTATTTTGTTACCACCGGTAAATCTAGATTGCCGTTCAAGCACAAACACTGATAATTACTATCTAAAAGTATAAATAGATCATTAGTTTATTTTATTGTTAAAACAATACATTACGTTCAATGATTTATTCATAAGACACTTGGATATAGCATGCACTTTGGCGCTAAAAAGAAAACATCACTGTTCAACCTTTTTAAATTGCAACTAACATCAATACAAGATATAGTGAATCTCTGTCATTGAAACGAAGCCATCCTTGAACAGACCAGTCTCCTGGTGATAATTTGACTGCTACCTTGGATACGCCACTATCATTATGATGTTTCTTGTTTCGACAACGGTTTTCGGGATATTCATGATGTTTTTCCTTTTGTTTTGCCATCTCCTCACTACCTGTTATTGTGTAGAGGTATAGCTAACGACTTCGTGCAGGCACTGTAGTATATACATGTATATTGCTATCTTGAACTGACTTTAGGCTTTATACATTTCACATTTAATGTTACATATGTCTATATGATTGCATGATTCCAGTTGGTCATTGTATCATGTAGT